GATTGGCGGTTGAGGGAATGGTGGAAGAGCTTATCAACTGCCACGCCGATGCTAACGCCACAGATGATTCTGGTAGCTAACGTTTTATCAACCTCTCATCTCCACAGTCAATAAAGATCCCTCAGTGTGTTGAGGTGTTATGATAATCAACCCTCTCCATTTTCACTCTCTCTGCAGGTAAGTCTGCTCTTCACTGGGCCGCGGCTGTAAACAATGTAGAGGCTGCCATGGTGCTGCTGAAAAATGGTGCCAACAAAGACATGCAAGACAACAAGGTATGTGACGTGATGTGACTGTGAAGGAGTTATGTGATATATATTTAGACATTCACATCCACAGTAGTATACTTTGTGTATTACCTGTTTCTTACCTGTTTTTTGGTTTGTTTTTTTAGGAAGAGACACCACTCTTCCTTGCAGCCCGTGAAGGCAGCTACGAGACAGCCAAGGTTCTTCTGGAGCACTTCGCCAATCGTGAGATCACTGACCATCTCGACCAGCTGCCCAGAGATATCGCCCAGGAACGCATGCATCACGACATTGTCCGCCTCCTGGATGAGTACAATGTGGTCAGGAGTCCTGGGCTTCACAGCGCCCCCTTAAGCACCTCCAGCCTCTCTCCACCTCTCTGCTCACCCAATGACTACCTTAGCAACCTCAAGCCCACTCTTTCTGCCAAGAAGGTTCGCAAAATTAGCTCTGGGGGAAAAGGAGGGAAGGATGGAGGCAAAGATAATAGAATGAAGAAGAAAAAGTCTCTGGATGGGAAGAGCAATTTGTTGGACACATCAGCTGTCCTTTCCCCGGTTGATTCCCTCGAGTCACCACATGGCTACCTGTCTGATGTGGCCTCTCCTCCCATGACGTCACCTTTCCAGCAGTCCCCACCTATGTCTCTAAATCACCTACAAGGCAATGGTGACTCCCATATGGGCCAGATGAGCATGGGTAAGGATATGGGCTGTATGTCTTTCGACCCTAACCCACCCCGTCTCTCTCACCTGCCTGTGTCCAGCCCCAGTAGTCAGGGCACATCATCCATAGGTGGAAGCAGAGGAGGCCAATGTGACTGGGTCTCCAGGATGCACCCAGGTGTAGGCCAGCAGGGAAGTTTCACGCAAGCGCCACCTATTTCCCACAACATGATGGGCCCTCTGCACGGCGTCAGCACTGCCACTCTGTCTCAGATCATGGGCTACCAGAATCTGCAGACAAGCCACCTCAGCTCGCCCGCGCACATGATGCAGCAGGCTCATTCTCGGCAGCTCCAGCACCAGAACTCCAACTCCACCACAGCTGGTCAGTCCCTCAACCAGAGCTTCGCTAACGTCGAGCTGAACGGCTCCGACATGCAGCAAAACAACAGCTCGGGCCGCTCTATGCCCATCCACACTGTGATGCCGCAGGAGACGCAGATCCTCGGCACCCAGTTTCTCACCCCTCCCTCCCAGCACAGCTACTCTGGCCCCATGGACAACACACCTAACCACCAGCTACAGGTCCCCGACCACCCATTTCTAACTCCCTCCCCCGGCTCCCCCGACCAGTGGTCCAGCTCATCCCCACATTCCAACATGTCTGATTGGTCAGAAGGCATCTCCAGCCCGCCTACAAGTATCCATTCACAGATGAATCTGATCCCAGACCAATTTAAGTAGAGACTTGTTAAATTGACAGAACTCTGTAGTCGTAAAAAAATATCTAAAAACAAAGTTCATACAGAAAGAGAGTGACAAACCTGTCTCAAGACTGAAGATGCTCCTTTTTAAATATCAGTTTTTATACTAACGATAAGAACCGTTTTAGTAATTTTGTATTTATTTATGTGCTTTTCTTGACCTGAAATATAAAGAAGATGCTTTTATATTTATGCTTTTTTTATTTCTTTGTTTTGTTATGTATGGGGAGATTAGAAAACTGTTTTAAAGGAGTGTATATCAGAAAAAAGACTCCTAGATGTGTACACTGGCTATTTATTTGTGTCTTGTGTTGCTATATTCACTGGATTTATTTTAATCTTTTGGTGCATTGGTCTTCACAAATTTTATTTTTGGGATTCGCATCGCATTATGTTTGTACAGTTTTCTTTCTCAACTTTTATAGATTATTTTTTAAAAATTTCAGTATTAATTAATTATATTTTAACCTCTTTTGTCTTTTTAAGTGACACAGGTTTTGTTACTGAACTACATTTCACTAAGTCTTATCACTGAGTTAGATTATGATCAGATATATATATATATATACAGTGTCACCTTTCATGATGTTGCTTACTACACTGTCCTCTTTTGGCAAAATGTAAGTGAGCAACAGAGATACTTTGGAGATTTGGGACCTTTAAGCACAGAACAAACATCTCTTATGTGTTGAGAGATGCTTTTCAAAATGAATGGAAAATGCATCTAAATCAACCTGAGCCTATTTTTCTTGAATAACAGTCTGGGTAGGTGCTGAGTAATTGGTTTGTGATCATTTATGATGCAAGGACTGTTTCTTTATTTCATAATGTTTCTCAAATCAGTGATTATGGTTACCATGTTTAACCTGTTAAGTGTTAAATTGCAGACCTGTTGTAGAAAGTTGAAATGTTACATTCGCCACACTTTAAAATAGTGCCAGTGTGATTTTTGTTTTTCCTAAGAAAAGCAATGTATTTGTGAGATTTCTTGTAAAAAAAAAAAAAAAAAAAAATGTCTTCATGGTGGAGAACATTGTTTGTGAAAGAAATGGGGACCTTTGTTTGTGTGTTTAATGACATCACCTGCACTTTGTAAAAGAGTGTGGTTTAAGGTGTCTAAATGTCATGTTTTATAAACTAATCCAGAGATAAAGATGTTTAAGAAAAGATGTAATTCAAAATCAATGTTCATGCAAAGTTGTAGTTTGCAAAGTATTTCCTGATTAAAAATGTTTTGTAAAAATTGTCTTGATTCAATAAAAAGCTGCTGTCAAGCTTTAAAAATACATTCCTTTCTTGATTTCATTTTCTTTTCTGAAATATGTGATTGACAGTATGGCCATCTTATCTGTAGTTCCTTAAATTCAATACATCTATATATTCCCATCTCCACAGGAGCTGGTGTCTGTCGCCCTCTAGTGGCAGTACACTGATAATACCACAGTGAAAATTGGGACCTGGGAAGAAGACGACATCACTGCTGTTGCTGAAAATCATTTCTGTTTATTTCAGTTCAAATTATAGAGTTGAATAATGTGTGGATGCCACCATAAAAACAGTTTATCAGAGAAGCAATTTATGTTATGCTTTTGCAAAGATAATTTATCCGCTATAGTAAATATTTAATGGTCGTTATGATGCGTGTCAGATCTTTGGAAAAAGATGCAAGAAGTAGCTAGTTTAGACTGATCTGGAAAAGAAGAAATTCTTGAATTGAATTAAGTTTATCACATTTATCCACACTAAATAGAATTGTTAAGGTCACCTAGAATAGCTACTGTGTTTAATGTGTCTGTCCAGGGTTGCTTTGGTATCTATGGATTACAGCCATGAAATGTGTGGGGTCTTGACTTCAGTATGAAAAACCTATTTGTACACGGTTGAAATTTCATTTTTAACTGCTTTAAATCTTGAGGTACTATAATGTACTTGTGTAATATTACACACTTTTATAGGAGTGTATATAACATGGACCAATGTTAAATACTACGGCATTATCAGTACATTTTGCTTATTAAACCTCCCCACTTTAACTTAGGTAGCATTTCAGTGCAGGTGCTTTTACCTTAGGATCTGAATACTCCCTCTGCCAGTGGTTGCACTATGGGAAATGTAGTATCTATCCAGGGACTTTGGAGCCACATTAAGGACTAATAGTCAGGGTATCTTTCCCTCTGCTGCTTTGATTTTGATCATTCTTTATTCTTAAATCGGTGTTGAGTCCCCCAACTAACTTTAACTGGCGTATCCCTTTAAGCACAGTTGCAGCATCATGCACAGCCAGTCACGTCAACGCCAGTCCTCTCTCTGCGCATGCATGCAGCGCCCTCAAGCAGGTGAACACGTGTATTGCAGCGCAGCTCATTGAAGATAACCCCCCGTCCCCATAGAGACAGGCTCCTACAACAGGGCTGCCCGTTAAACCTGCCAGTCCTTTCTCAAGAGGCGATGTCAGCCTCAGTATTAAACACCCGGCTTTTGGATATTGATAATTTCCTCGAAAACGGTCTTCCGGATGGTTGCCAGTCAGATTTTTTATTATTGGATTAACGACCATCAGCCGCCAGCCGCAGCTTTATCCTGAGAGGCCGGAGATTTGTGTCGCTGGGCAGGGAGGAGTCCTGTGTTATTTCACCGTCAGCTGAAGGCAGGCCAGTATGTCGGTGTTTTAACAGCATTCATCTCGAAGCTGCGGAGGGGACTCAATGCGCTCTTAGAGGTGAGTCTTTGTTTTGTTATTGTTAATTTCGAGATGTTTGCGCGCAGTTTAGCGAGCTAACCTTTAATACATTGAACTCAACGGTGCTATAGGTTAATGTTAGGTCATTCATTGGTCACCATATCCAGCGTCGACGGGACCAAGCTAGAAAATACCTAACAGCAGCTAACAAAGATGCTAATTATTCTCCATTATTAAGCTAATAAACCTAGAGGAGCTCTCATTTATGGAGGAAAGTGCACCCCAATATAGCACATTATCAGCTGTAACAATATGCATATAACTGGTGTTTGGGTGGGATGTAAATATGATCATAGAATATGAATAACAACTGACAGCAGAGACACCTCCAGCACCAGCAGGTTAGACAAGGTGAGTCTGTGATCACCGGAGCAGGTGCTGCCAGGCCCCGCATTGTTGTTGTTCTTAATATCGATGATGTAATGCAATCGGCTGGGACTGGCAATAATGTTTCTGTGTCTCTCCGTGCAGGATGGATGTGGAGGTGAGTGCTGGCAGGGACAGCACCTGGAGGAGAGCAGCAGCAGCAACAGCAGATGATGATGATGATGATGATACAGGAGGAGGAAGAGGAAGAGGAGGTATGGAGGCTCAGGTTGTACCGCTGGAGCTCTACGACTCTGCAAGAGCCAAAATAGACGCAAATCTCCGCTGGTTATTTGCCAAAGCCTATGGTATAGGTAAGGCTCTCTCCTTGTTCTCCTTGCACAACTGAGACGTTGAATGATGTGCCTTTCTCATGGTGGTTACTGTATTTGTTTTATTATTTATTGGAGCAACTGTCCGTTGTGCATGAATTGAACTATGCAGCAGCTAAAACTGTAGCTGCTGCATAGATAGATACAAATCCTATTAATTAAGAGTGAATTTAGAATCATTTTCATTATTATCTTTTTTTTCTGGCATACAACAAAAACAACACACCCTTATAAAGCTAATATGTTGAGCTAGAGACAAAATTAGGGCTGCAACTAATGATTATTTCCAACTAATGATTAGTTTTAGTTTACCTTGTCTAGTTTATTGCAGCACCTGTATTATTTTCTGATATAGTAGAAGTCTATAACATAGTTTGGTATCAATTAAAAATATGGACACATAACGGAGTAAAATGCACTGACTAGAACTGTGTGTGTGTGTGTGTGTGTGTGTGTGTGCGTGTGTTGTGTGGTGTTGTGACTGTGTGCGTGTGTTGTGTGTGTGTGTGTGTGTTGTGTGTTGTGGTGTGTGTGTGTGTGGGTGGGGTGGGTGGGTGGGGGGGTGTCCATCATCACTATATGTTTATGTGTGTTTGTATGTTTATGTTTAGTTTACAGTGGAAATGCAGAAACTAAGTATGGGTAACAGAAATCACTGTACAACATGAAACAAACCGAAGTCATTGTTATTATACTTGCAGCTGAAACTATTTGTAGATTAATTATTAGGCAGTCGACAGATAAACAATTTATGATAAGCCACTTTTTAACTAAAATACAGTTTGTGGTATGTTCTTTGTTGTACGTGACAGTAAGCCGGATATTTTTGAGTTTTGAATGTCACCTTGGGCTTCAGGAAATTGTGATGGGCATTTTATTTGCTGCTTTCTGATCTTTTAAAGACCAATGAATGAGAAAGTAGTTGGTGTAGTGATAGGCCTTATACAAATATATGTCATTTGCTCTGTGAAATTGTGCATCTGCTCTTTGCTCATAAAAGTTAACGTTTTATTTTATAAGATTGTATTGGTCTTGACCCACCTCTACAGGAAACCCTGCTATCACAATTAATCACAATAGATAATGCAGTCAAATACATTAAATACAACTATGCATAAAGGCGTATTGAAAGTGTTGTCATTATATGGTTTATATCAGATTTGATCCAATAACAGCGAGTATAGACTGTATATACACCTTCAGGTCTCACTTAATGTGTTGACAACCTTCTTGTTTACAGTGATTTATAGGTTGTCTCACAGTTTTTGAGTATCACCCTTGGCCCACTGGCAAAAATGTAAACAAAGTTCCTGTAGCAGCAGCCAGTGATTGCGAGTGAAGACGTAGGACGACATCTCTTGATCAGTCTTTTATACACAGGTCACTAGCCTTGCCAGCTCTGATGAGGTCCACTAAAACATTAAAAATGATTGCTCTACATCGCCAGGCTGTAAGTAAATGTCTGGAAATTACCCCTTGAATGTGGGTTTTTGTGTCACTCACTGGCTGCTCTCTCTCGGGGGTGTGAGCAGGGGGTCAGCTGTGCTGTTCGTGCACAAGTCTCTGTGATTTTATTATCAGTATGACAATGAGGCATTTGGAAGGAGACACAGAGAGACAGTCATCCAGTAAAGAAAAAAAAATCTCTGCCCTCATATCCGGTTTATGAGCCAGACATACTGTAGGCTAGTTTAAGTGTTTCCTTCCCTGCAGTGCTATCTCCTGTGTTGCTAGCGATGACTCAGTGAATTCAATTGGAGACAAGAACAAACCCCTAAAATTCAAAGCTTGTAATGTGTAGTGAGATAAGTAGCAGCTGAGCTGAGAGATGAAAATGAACACGAAGAATATGAAATAGATATAAGACACAAAATGTTACAAAAAATCTGCCTTCCACAACCAGTATTGCACCATATCGTCATGAATGATATCACATTATTCCCTCAACAAATTGAGCATTTTTATGCTTGGCACCAGTGATGTAAATATCATAAGCTCTGTCTCGCTGGTAAAAGCTTTACCTCTGTTACCTAACACTGTGTTGTTCCAGGGCACAGATCAGATGCCCATAATAAACACCAAACCAATACCCTCTCCTCCATCAAGCTTCCTGCTTCCCTTAATCTGATTGGCTCCTCCTGACGTCATTGTGCCAGGGACACTAAGGAGCTCTTTCAACAAGACACCAAACTGTCTTAACGTCTTGTTTTTTACCCAGACTGGACGGTGCCAGTGTAATATAATTTGATATTTATTACAACTTTCACAAGTTCATACGGCAGAGACGATACAGTACATGGAAGTTGGTACGTTTCAACTTTAAGTTAGTTTTACAAATTAAAGCAGATGCAACTTCAAGCACTAGAGTTTTATTAAGCTTCTATAGTCCTTCTGCACACCGAAAAAAAAATAACAGCCATTCAGTCCTTCCTGTTTCACACTCCTCCCATTTGTTCAGTCTAGCATTCACCCTCATTTCCTTTGGTGCTGCCACTGATGAGAGTCAGGCTTTTTGCCTGCTGAGCTTAATGTTGTGTAGGGCTGCTGCTACTGCTACTAGCAGTTATTTTCAGTATCAGTTAATCTGCCAGTTACTTTGTTGATTGGTCTATGAAATGTAAGACAGTAGTGCAAAATGTCCATCACAATTTCTCAAAGCTAAAGAAGACACACTCTGCTTTGTACAAACAACAGGCCAAAACCCAAAGAGATTTGGGCAGAAAATCTTGAAAATGAAGAAGCTGTAACCAGGAAATTCTTGCTTGAAAAATGACTCAAGCAATTAATTGATTATCAATAAAGTTGCTGATTGACCCTCTGTTGAACAAAGTTTTTTTTCCTCCTCATTGCAAGGGGGATGCTAGGGATGCACCTAACCTAATAATTATTGGTTAATCTGTCAATTATTTTTCGTGATTAACTGTCACAAAATAGTGAAAAATGTCCACCACACCTTCCCACTGTCTACGGTGACATTCTCAAATTGCTTATATGGTGCAAAACCAAACAATATTCAATAGCTGCTGACTCATTCTCTGTTGCCTGGTAAAACAGCTAATCGTTTCAGCGGTAGATCCAGTTTTTCTCTCCCGAGACCAATTTCTATTCCTAAACTCACATTATCTGCTGGTTTTAAATGTCTTTTTCCGACATTTACAACCTGCATACTTCACTGCAAAGAACTTATTGGAATCATTTTTATGTTAGGCCATGAGTTTCAAAATAACTTTGACCTGACCATGATTGAATGAATGTAACTGACAGCGGAAACAATAAATTTTACAATTATAGGGACAAAGAAACTGCATTTTCTTTTTCTGGCCGATACTTGTTCTACTTAATTAGGCAACGCCCACACCGATCTGATGTATCGGACTGGTGCATCATAGTCAGGCCTGGTAACTTTGAGATGCATCTCAGTTGTTTGTTTTCAGGTTTTGAAAGCAGACATGGAATTTAGGTCTGGGGCAGGAACTAAATATTTGATTAACAGGCTGTGATACTGTAGGACAGTGAACTGTCTGTAACTTATGAATATATGATAGTTTTACACATTTAGAAACAGTGTCTCGTGTTGAAGTACAAAGTATCCGTTTTGTGTTTGTTGTCTGTGATGCAATCCCAGGTTATTTATTGTCAGTGTGGCGATGAGAAGAACCAAAACATTCTTATTAGATTAGAGTGCAGACAAAGCAACACAGCAGTGCTGGGAGGACTGTGTTGTCTGTGTGTGCTGGTGTGAAAGTCAGCACAGCCAGTCACATGGTTAAGTGTTTAATGGGATTGAACCTGAAGGCTTGAGTCTTTGTTCAACACAGCCTGTTTGTTTAGACTCATGACAGTTTTACTAATGGCCTTTGGGGAAGTGTCGAAATGTTTTCTAAATGTTTTTACTGGAAAATAAGAGCATGGGTTTTATCTTGCTATTAATTCTACAAAATTCTGAACCGAGGCATGAATTCTTTCTCTTATTTTTTTGTTTGTATTTCAAACATTTTCAATAAACAAATTTAATTCATAAAAATATTACAAAGACATGCTAATGCAAAAATAATGTTGAGCTGCATTGCCATGACTGTTTCTTCTTTTGCACACCTTTACTGCAGTGTTTTGAAATTATTGTTTAGTATCGTACCTAATTAATACTATTAGGGCATAAAATGGACATGTGACGAGGAGCAGATTTTGGACGTGTGTAGATCTAGTAGATTTGAGATTGATATGTTGGTCAACGGTTATTTTTTAAAACATAAACACATAATATATACAAACACTTTGAATAAGAACCCCTCAAACTTGATTATTGAATAATTTGGGACCAAGATATGTACTGAGCAGGACATTTTTATAATTGATAGTCAGTGTTCTCAGGTGGACAAACTGTAATGGACACTGCTTCTAAACTATCTCAAACATATCTTTAGAAATTCTGTACTGCACTTTCTTGATACTTATCTGCAAACATACAGTATACACCAATACAGATATACAGTATTTGCAATTAGCTTGTATTAGCTCTAATTCTATTGTGGGGTGTAAACAATAATTGCAATAATAATTTTGCAGAACTGCCGATGTCCTCAAAATAGTGTTGACTCACATTTGTAATTATATCTTGTCATACAATGAGTCGCCAGTCCCATTAAATCAATGGATATAAATTGTACAAGATATAACTAAAGGGCCGCACATCAAACTCTATTAAACTGAAGAACTTGACAAATTGATTCCATACACCAGCTTTTTAATTTTTTCTGCAGGGTCAGACTTCCAAGTGACTCCTCAGGGTGCATCGGCTTAAAGGCTGTGTTTTCCCAACATACCGTCTTTGGGAGGATTCTCCATTAAGCCGTCTTACTGGAAAGAATGGTTGTGTCTTTCCCCTGCAGAGCCCAGAGTCTGACAGCCCCCCTCACTGTCATCAAGATCTCTGCTGATCAATCTGACCTTGTGTCTCATAGAATAGGAACAAAGACTTTCCCTGCATCCCCCCTCCTCTTGATTTCCCACATGCACACCAGGGTGGGCTTTAACACTTGGATCAGGTGGATAATTAATATCCAAGGAGTATTACCAACTAGGATTAGAGAGGAGCTCCTGTCTCCCCCCTCCAGTTCTCCACACCACACACACACTCACACTCACACACACCTCCTGATGTCAGGGACCATAAAACGATCCAATGAGCAGGCCTCTGTGATGAGATGGGACAGCAACCCAGCCCCCACCTCCGGCCATGCTGGCATACCCCATCACCATCTCCAGGGCAACCGGGGATGATGAGAGGGCATTCTAGGACAGCTGAGACCAATGAAGTAGCGGGGTATCAGCGAGGTGTGTTGGAAAGAGGCTGGAGGAGGACTCACAAGATTTGCTTTTGTTGAGAGAAAGAAGTGGGGGGTGCATAATAAATATTTTCTCTCATCATGGGGGATTCTTATGCACATATGGCGGCACTACGCAGCAACAGACAGCGAGATAGATACTGTGGAGAGACAGTGCCGACTCCGAGCAAGCAGTTTGTTTTGAAAGACACAGTTGAGGTTTTCACAGTGTGCTGTAGTCCTAATCTGAACCTGCTGTGTAAGTGTGTTTGTGTGTGTGTCTATGTGAGAGAGAGTGGTTGTGTGTGTGTTCTCGACTTGCGGATGTCTTATTTTATCTGTTTATCTCAGTCAGCACTGCTTTTAATGTGATGTGTCAAAATGAGGAAAGATGTTATGGTTAACTCCTGTCGTTTTAATGCTTTCGAGGTGGTTAAATATTGATGTAGTGAAGTATCATTGTTTATGCTTTTTTATTCTCCTAGTTTTGGTCTCTTTTACTATCATTTAAAATATATTTTTATTCATCATTGTCATTGCTGACATCTGGAAAATTTATCAGACACAGTGACAAATGATCAGACTGGGACTAATCACTTCCATAAACCACGTTTTTGATGGTGAAACCAAAGGTGAAATAACCATTATGATCTTTCATTGCATTGTAAAACTGTGTGTGTGCACAACTATAGTTTTTATGGTTCACCAGAAAGCAGCTTAGCACAGTCTAATGGATGTTTACAATGATCTGTCTGCCTGTGAAGCTTGCTCTATCGTCAAAGGAATAGTTTGACATTTTGGGAAATATGCTTATTCACTGTATGCTGAGAATTAGATGAGAAGATCAATACCGCTTTTGTATCTGTGCATTAACTATGGAGCTAGAGCCAGAGAGCACTTACCTTAGCTTAGCATAAAGACTTGAAACAGGGGGAAACAGTTAGCCTGACTCATGTTAAATCTTGTTGGCATGTCTGCATCTTTGTCCTGAGTCTCATCATCACCAGGAGGTTGCCAGGAAGCCAGCAGGGACCCCAGGAATTCACTGCACAAAACCACAATCTTTCTTGTTACTCTAGATTTAATAGACAACATGTACAGCAGGTTGATTATTGAATTTTAGAGGTGCAGGTAGCTGAATTTGGTTACCTCTGGACAGAGCCAGCTTAGCTGTCTCCCTCTTGTTTTCAGTCTTTGTGCTAAGCTAAGCTAAGCTAACTGTCTCCTGGGTCCAATTTAATATTTAATGGACTGATATGAGAGTGGTAACGATCTTCTCATCTAACTCTCAGCAGAAAGTGAATAAGTGTATGTCCCAAAGTGTCAAACTACTCCTTTAAGGCATTTTGTCTGAGATGATATCCTCCTGTAGCAATACAATTTGTTTGGAAAGTAAAATGTTATCAGAACTAATTGGTGTGATAGACAGAGGTACTAAACTAAGACCAAAGTTGTAAAATAAGACAAATCAGAGCTATTTTCCATCAAACAATTCAGTTAGGTAATATTATTCATTAAGAGACAATCCCTTTAATTCCAAATTCTCACCTGTTTTTTTCTTTTATTCCTCAACATATGAATAACCAGACCACTTGCTAACTCTATCATTCAACTGTTTCTCTATCTCCTCCCAACCAAGTCTATCCAGAAAGCACTGGAAGCTAAATTTCGTGAGTGCCTGAGGCCTTAACTCTGGATTAACATGTCCAACTCATATAAAAATAGCTGTCGCGTGTCTGTGTCCATGAGCAGGACAACACCTGGCTGGCTGGGACAACACCATCAGCTTAAGTATCACCACTAAGTCCTGTTAGCTCATTGGCTTTAAGTCTCTGGTCCACCTATCAGCCTACAGGGTTGCTACCTGGCATGCTGTTTAACCATTGGCTTTGTTTCAGCGCTCTCCTCTTGCACTGGTTTCCTCTGAGACAGTCTTAATACCTTGAAGTCTGTGTCCTGAGAGCTTCTCTGTTACATAACATGGTAAAGCAGTGGTGGACACGTCTGTGCAAAAATAGTTTAAGTGTGTGGATGCGTGGTGTGATTTTATGGATTAATACAACTGTAATAGTTAAAGAAAAACTCACTGGATAACCCAAAATGTCTTATCAATGTGTTGTCATCCTCCCTCTTTCTAGACAACATCCCTGCAGACCTGCGAGACCCCTTCTACACTGACCAGTATGAGCAGGAACACATCAAGCCCCTCATCATCCGCCCGCTGCTGTCTGGAGAGCTCTACTGCCGGGTGTGTGGGCTCATCCTGCACGCTGAGCAGGCTGCCTCGCTCCAGAGCCACCAGTCTGTCATCCAGGCCCTGTCCAGGAAAGGCATCTATGTCCTGGAGAATGACAACACGCCTGTTTCTGATCTGGACCTTAGCTCAGCTCCCATAAAGATGGTGGGTATCTTAACATTTTGTCTAGTGATATACCAACATTAACATAAGTTAAGTACAAACAAGTATGTTAGCAAATTAGTTAGTGGATTACACAGTAACTTAGGGAACAGAATCTGTATTCTGTTGGCCAGTGTTTACAGTAGATGATACTGTAGGTTTGATCATTTTGCATCTACATTTCCTTTTCTAACCTTAATTTATCCAGGGACGTTTCACTGAGAGCAAGGCTCTCATTTTCACATTCCCTTTCACATTCGCTTTCACATTCCCCACCCAGCAGGAATGGATCTAGAGAAAAATTCATGGGGTGGCAAGAGGGTGGCACAGAGACCTTAATTGTTGGCAGAAGTATGTACCACAAAATACTGTACTTTGCACTATTAGACCAGTAGGGGCCACAAAATCTATGCAAAGACTGCTGCAATAATTGTGCTAAACAACAAGCAAGTCTCATTTGTATTGTCATGCATTTGCAGAAATAATAGTTCTTTCCATTCAGCTCTCACAGTGTAATCACATGATGAAGTGAGGTGCTAAACACAGCAGATAGTGCTCTGTTGAAGAATCTTCTGCCTCATCTTTATCTAAGGTAGCCATCATTAAGGTATTCAATCACAATCACAAGGTATTTTTTAGGAGTGGCAGCTGCCACCCTGGGGTGACATAGGGTGGCAGGTGACTGTGTAAAGTGAGAGGTGTTTCTTCTTAAGAGGGGAGGAACCCCACAAATCTTTATCACAGATATAAAAGAGCTTTGTAGTGTGTTTCATTCGATTGTTTTGGTTTTCCGGCTGCAACTTTGACTAACTGTCACTGCTCTCATCAAACCCAGTTCCAGATGTAGGAGGCAGTTGTTATTGGTGAAAAGGAGCTAAACGGAGAGCAAATATTGAACTTAAATCCATCAGGTCATTAGACACAATACTCCAAATAAATGCTGATGTTGCTGTTTAAGGTGGTACTATGTCAGTGTTGTGTTCACACTTATTCTGCTGCCTCCAAGTGGCCAAAAAAAAAAATCTATTATTACAGCTTTAAGAATTATTAAGGCAAATTAGGGTGCATTCTCTGCAGTAGTATGACCTAGTGAACTGGCAACCCACGCTTACCATCTGTTTACAAGCTAATGTGACTTTGCTTTCCAGAGCCAAATGTGAACCGAGAGTATTGGAATAAATAATGCACCAGTGGATGTGACTGTTTTGCAGGTTTTAGTGTATGTAACTAAAATATTCATGAAGCAAAATGAACAAAAGCCGCAGCATTTGAACCCACTCTCAGAAGCTATTAGTCATCTGTCCCACAGGTGTGAAAACATAAAAGGCAACAAGCTGGCAGCAGTTTATGCTGTATCCATATATGAATGTAATTTTTTTATACCTCTTACAGTAAAAGAAAATGCATGTGCCAGACATATGGCAAAACACACACTTTCATTTTTTACAGCTCCAGTTTATCCCTGGCCTTTTTAAAGCAATTAAAAAACAGTATATGTTTCATAAGATAATGACACAGCAATTGTCTCATGTGTAGGCTGGGAGGGATTTTGCTATTAGACCGCTGCATGTTTCAGTCTAAAAGTTCTGCCCTGTTTCTATGGCAACTCAGTGTATGTACTACATTGATGATGCAGTACAATCCTTTTATGCTATAAAATCTACTGTATATTATAAACAGACCCATGATTCTAGGAAAGATTTACAAAGTACATATTAGAGATACTTCTTAATGGACGTGTAGGTTATCATGATGTTTCTGTTGTTAACCCTAACCTCAAAATCTGTGTTCCTCCAGAGCGCCCACATCCACCTCATTGATGCGCTGATGATGGCCTACATAGTGGAGATGATCAGCATAGAGAAGGTTGTGTCCAGTGTCAAGCGCTTTTCGAACTTCAGTGCCTCCAAGGAGCTGCCTTTTGACCTGGAGGACGCAATGGTCTTTTGGATCAACAAGGTAAGAACCTTACATGGTGTTAATGTTTGGATTTGTTCAATCTGTCTTCTTCTTCTCAACTTACAGTATCTTTGCCACCTCAGGTGAACATAAAGATGAGGGAGATCACAGAAAAAGAACTGAAAATGAAGCAACATCTGCTGGAGCCATCCAGTCACCAGAAGGTAACACCCTGTGTGTCTCTTTGTTTTATTCCCTTGTCTCACATGCTCTTTGTTGGTCACTTTGTCTGTTTCTCTCTCCGTTTTAGAAAAAAAGCTTTCTCTTTGTTGAATAGTGTCTTTCTTTAGTAATGTTGTCGTCTTTGTCTATTGTCCTTCTGGCTGTGATTTTATACACGAGCATCTTGTACTCACTGGGCACACTGGCTGTCAGGTGTGTAGGTTTTGTCATCAGATCTTGCTTGCGTTATGATCTGATGAGCTCCTCACATCGACTTCCAATCACAGATTCAAACACATTTTTGTGTGGACGCCCTACGTCACAGGTTTTCAAAGTCTGCCACTGTGGGCCCCCCATTCACATCAAATGAATGGATTTTAATCTTTGTCTTACTCTAATTTAGGGGATGATCATACTCTAAGTTTTGGAACTACAGCTGCCTTAAATGTAGGGCTTTGCGAGATGTAAACAGGAAGTATTATGTTGCCATGGAGTCAGTTAGTTAGCTATGAGCTACAACTTAAGCCCTGTGTTTTTTACCTATATTTGTATATATTTTGGTAAATTGGCACCATTAAAAATAAGCCCAGTTAGTGATTAGCAGTTCCTGTTGGCAATGTAGCCATGGATATACAGACAGCTATCACTGTGTTATTTTGATATTGAAGGAAACTTAAAAAGGTGATGAGTCTTAGGCAAGTTCTGGAGTTATAAGGTGGACATTATGATTTTTAAGTGGATTTGTGGACTTTTCTATGCAATGATTGGATAGAATGATATCTTTGGAAAATGTAAGTCACGCTGAATCTAAAAATATGTGTATTACGCCTCTGTGTTTAGATTCCTCACATTTTGAAAACCTCTGCACTATGCTGTCTTGGCTTCGTTCCTATCAACCAGTCAGAAAAGCCATATTGTTAAAAGACAAGTGTGAGCACAGTGTCTGTCAGAGGGTATTGGAGCTGAATTAGTCTGAAATAATTTGTCAATGCAGAGTGAAATCGCACTCCTTAAAACTTTAATTACAATACACACAAACACCTCTAGTTTTTTCCTCATTTGCCTGGTCTCTGTAAAACTAGATTTTCTTGACTCTCTCTGCCTAACCCTTTCCAGTTGTCTTTAAGATCAGATCTGTCTCCATGGTAACATGGGATAATCTGATTTCTTGTCAGTGTATCTGACCCACGACTTGTCTGCTGCTCTTCCTGTTTGTGTCTCCCCCCAAATCCCATCACTTCCTGACTCTTGGATACTAGTCCCCCTCCAAATGGTACTGGAAGCTTGTACCTGTAAGTGCAACCTCTAGCAATCTCCTGTGTGAGTGTATCCGTATCTGTTTGAGGTGTGTGTGTGTGTGTGTGTGTGTGTGTGTGGCTGTGTGTCAGTGTCAGATCAGCTAGCACAAAGACGAGCCAAATCCACGATAATAACTAATTATATAGACAGCAAAAGGCCAGACATGAAATAAATCCAATTCTACAGAGAATACAGTGATTTATACAATAAAGATGACACAGTGCCCCTTGAAGGCAAATGAGGTAACAGCAAGCTCATAACACTTTTTTTTTCTCTGCACATTTGCTTTCACTTTGCATGAAACCTTTAATAATTCCTTCATCCAGCAAAGCTTAAGTGAACTACCAGGCTCAAATGGCTCAATTCCTCTCATCCACTCATGGCTTGCCTCATTTCATTAACGTCCTCCCAATCATTTCTTTCCTTCCTCACCAGCCTGATATATTGCATGCTCTGGCCCATTGCTTATTGGAGCCTGTGGAGTTCTCTCGTGTGGTAATGTACTCACCATTGACTCTTTTCTTCATTTCATTCTGATCTTCACTGTTTTTCCCTTTTTTAAACATTCATCACATGCACCAACTACTAGTTAAATTGTCATACACGAAAGTGATTATCATGGTTAAAAGTTGAGTGAAGACAGACACATCATTAATGTACCACATGAAAGGTTCCACGCGACATCAGACTTTGCAAAGCATCTGACCTTTTCTGATACAGATAAATACACAACACAGTATATGTGTTAAAGAGACCAGGAGAATAATAAGTTATATGAAAAGTGATTTTCTATCAAAAACTAATATGAGAAATTGTGTGTTTGTGTGTGACAAGTGAGAGTGTGGCTAAGTGTTCTGATCAGATAAAGTTGTATACTTTATGTAAACTTGTGCCATCTCTTTCTGTGTAGGTGCGTTACCGCAGAGATCACCTGTCAGGTCGGACATTTCAGCACTTCCCCCTGTTGGACGACTTGTTGAAGGACGTGTGTGATGGCACGGCTCTGCTGGCTGTGATCCACTTCTATTGCCCAGAACTCGTTAGACTGGAAGGTACGGTAACACTGGACCACTAAAAATCCAATGAAGAAAAATAGCTGCATTGCCATGAGAAGATTGATACCACTCTCATGTCTAGACTTTTGTCTGGACACTAAATATGAAGCACGAACCGAAACGAAAACACGAAAAAACTGTTAGCTGAGCTTAGCTTAAAGACTGTGAGCAGGAGGACCTTATCAACCACTGAACTATTACAGTATTAACCTGATAGAGTTGACCATTGCTGTCCTGTTCTGTGCAGATATCTGTCTGAAGGAGGTTCCCTCCATAGCAGACAGTGTATACAACATCCAGCTACTGAAGGAGTTTTCTAATGAGTACCTGAACAAATGCTTCTACCTGAAGGCTGAGGACATGCTGTATTCTCCACCCGTGCTGAAGGTGCGTCCAAAAACACTTTACAGCCAGAAAATACTTGACATTATCAGATTGTGTATCATATTGTCCTACTGACCTTAATCTTGATTACTCTGTCTTGCAGAATAACTTGATGGTCTTCATTGCTGAGCTTTTCTGGTGGTTTGAGAGTGTGAAGCCAGACTTCGTACAGCCCAGGGACCTTCAGGAAATCAGAGATGGTATAACACATGCGACTTTTTTTGGTCATTTAATGAACAGTTTGTAGCTCTTTTAAACAATGGAGTCTCTTGTAATGGTTTGATTTCCCTTCAACAATGTTTGCAGTGAGATTGCTGCTGCAGCCTAAAGGTTCTCGATCCCATGTACCCATCTCCAACGTCACAAAACGTAGTTTCCTGACATCATCGAACTCTGCTGATGTATTGACCACACCCCCGAGCCCTGACCTCAGGTATTATACGGTAACTGTGTTCCCATAACACAGAGACAGTTTTACTTTCAACCTACAGGTTTAATGTACTGTAGTTGTTTTTGACATTAGAGTTCTGAGAAAGACCTCATGCCTAAACATAACACTTTTCTTCCTATACGCATTTGTCCATTAGTACATTTTTAGCTCAAGGGAATAATATGATGCACTCCTACTATTCATACACTAGTTAATATGGTAAAATTGACACATAACAACCTCTACAGTATGTGTAATCTACATTTACATCTGAAGAAATCCTGGTAATTTTCTAACCATATGCTGTGATATTTTTTTGGCCATTCCCACAGTACATTACTACAACACTAAGTGTAATACTATGAATGCCTCTGCACTTTACATATGGTAACATCATCCCAAATGTTTTAATTGTGAAATCGCACGTCATTACTTAATTTGTGTTATTTTGGATACGCGCTACTGAGTAATATTTTTTTTCAAACTAGTTTTAACTTTTAACTCAAACCTCTCTGTCTTTCTCTTCCAGCGCTAAACAAAGCTCAGTAAGCCCTTCTCAGTCTTTACTGCCCCTGAGGCAGAGACAACAGAAGGTGTTTGAGGAGAGCACTTCAGGTAATATGAAAAAAATATTTACTCAGGCTCTGGTGTAGCGTTTGATCCCTAAAGCCACAAAAACATTATTCAAACAGAGAAAAAGGAGAAGGAAGATAGAGAGCAGGAAAAACATTTTTGATTATTCTTTTAAGGTGATCTAAACGCACCTAAGGTGTGTTCTTGTATCTTTCCTTATTTGACAAGTTGTTTATTAAAGCAAAGAATTTCGGGACAATGCTTTTATATCTCATTTCCGTCACTTGTAATGTTACATTTTTGAGGTGTCCTTTTCTGATATGGAACATATTTTTCTTTGTACAGAGCTGAGAAATAGATCCAACTCTCTGACACGTGCAGATGGGCAGCACCAGGGCCCAGTACTGGCCTGGCCAGAGAGGAGGCCGAGGTGAGCAGTGTGATTACAGTTTCTCAGTTTGATGTAGCAGCAGGTACGAATATTATGGACAGTTTCTTGTTCCATGATTCATTACACTAAATTGTATTCCTCCCTCTGTCTCTGTCCAGGCCTGTATCCCAACCAGCGCCCTATGCCCTTCATTTTCCCATGGAGGACGATGCAGACAGTATCAGCCTTGCTCGCTCCATCAGCAAGGACAGCTTGGCCTCCAACATCATTACCCCCAAACACATGCTGGGGTCAGGCGCCCATCTGTCGCAACACAGACTCAGTGGTCAAAGCCTGCTTAGTCACATGCGCATAGAAGATGAAGAGGAGGAAATAGAAGAGGAGGAACTGGTCGCTGTTATCCATCCTTATGCATTTTCTAGACATCGACTTGGGAGTGACATGGAACAGGATGAGCTGGAAATCCAGAGTGCAGCCACCACCTCAAGGGTTTCTAATACTCGTTGCTCTCCTCGCCTTGACACGGGTCCCTTTACTCCGGACAGTCAGGCAGATGGCTACTATCTGGAGCCTTTGATGCCTACTATCCCTAAACCAGCCAAAGAGAAGAGCATCAGCCTGAACAAGCAGGAGGAAAGTGGTGAGAGTCGCTGTAGAGCAGCGGTAGCTGCTAGGAAAGCAGCCACCAATGTCCCAAGCACCCCACAGAGGAAAGCCCCTGCAACTGAGTCAAATAGAAGTACCTTCACACCAATACATGTTGCAGAATCAGTGCCTAGCTCTCTGAGGCCGCTCACAGAGGGGTCGGTAGGCATCTCTCCATCTGGGAAGAAACAGTCCGAAGGCTTTTTCCTTCACTTGTCTGGAGAGTCGGACTGCCACAGCCCTTTCTCCTCTACGCTGGAGGTAGGGCATGACTCCGACTCTGACATTGCAGACCTTGAGGATGACGATGAGGAGGACGATCAGATGGAGCTGACTAGAGAAGTGATAAGGAGAGGAAAGGGAAAATGCCTAGAAGAGGGGGAGGTATGTGAATTCGGAGAGGGCGAGTCAGCCAAGCTGAGAGAAGACTTGAAGGTGAGTGAGCGGGACGATAAGGAAGATGGCAGTGGACGCTCAAGTCCTTGCCTCAGTACCATTTCCTGGGCAAGCAGCTGCAGCGCTTCAGGCAGTGCCAGTGTCAAGATGACTAGCTTTGCAGAGAGAAAGCTCCTTAAACTTGGCCTGCGTGATGGATTTTCAAGTACCAGCAGCTCTCAGAAGACCACACCAGATGGCTCGGAGATCACCCCCTGCCCTCCCTGGCAGCTGAGGAGTGACTGCAGTTGGCAAGGGAAGGAGCCTGGTTCTGTGTTGGGGAGTAATATGATGGGGAGTCCCCCTGTAGTGCCTTCAGAGCTGCTGCAACTTCACATGCAGCTAGAAGAGCAAAGACGCGCAATAGAGTATCAAAAGAAGAAGATGGAGAACCAATCAGCACGGCAGAGGCTAAAGCTTGGGAAAGCTGCGTTCTTGAACATTGTCAAGAAGGGTGGAGGGAAGAGCGACACACTTCCTCTACCACTAAAACACTCCCAGGAATCCTCAGAACTAACAGCTGCTGAAAGAAATAAAGTGAAGATCCAGTCCTGCAGGGATGATTCCTGTCTTGATGCTCTGAAGGTTCAGGCGAAGGCAAGTCAACCAGAGGCAGGACAGATGAACAGAGACAACAGATTGAACACTCTGTCTCAAGATAATGGGGCTGAATCTGGCTTGAATGAGTGTTCCCGCTCCATAGATCTACTCAATGAAGCTATTAATTCCATTCAGCAGCAGATGATGCAGCTCTCCTTTCAGCAAGACCTGCTGATGAAGCAGAATGTGGCCTCACCTCCAAAATGTGTAGAGTCAGTTCCTAGCACAACTCCCATCACGACACAAACAGCATCCTCTACCTCAGAGTCCAAATCTTTTGCCGTCCACTTTGTAGATATCAGTGGCAGCAATTCTTTTCCTGCTCGCCGTCCTCCCAAGCTGAGCTCCAGCCAACGCAGCAAAGCCTCGGACAGGAAACAGAGCAAAGACAACAGCAAGGTTTCCTCTATCAAGTCTAATACTCAGTCTCCAGAGGGCACGCCCACTCCAAGAGAAAGTACCGACGGAGACCAGGAGATGGGGACTATTGCAGAGAGCTCCAGGCTAGAGAGAAGCATTCAGAGAAACACCACCTTCAGAGTCCATGATGGCACCGGAGAAGGAACTGAGCGCCTCCCAGACAAACCCCAGTCACAGGACCCGTCAGTCATCTCCAGTACAACCGTATCTCCCTCACAGGCTGCGGAACCACAAGAGCACAAAGCTGACAACTCAGGAAAAGAGGCTTTGGGAGGAGATGAGAGTACCAGGGTCAAAGGCCAACTGATTGAGGTCGACTTGTCAGAGCTTAAGGAGCCACTGGAGGATGGCAGTGCAGATGTTGCAGACTGCACAGCAGACAGCGAGCAGAAGAATGTGTTGGGCTTCTTCTTTAAGGTAAAATTCAGATGTTTGCATTTTCACAGTGCTTCTATGTGTAACTCACGATTTGACATATCAAGACTACTGACTGAGAAGCATAGTTACTAGCTGAATAATTATCGCCCATTTTTATCTTCCAGGATGATGAGAAGGCAGAGGATGAAATGGCCAAACGTCGTGCCGCTTTCCTCCTCAAACAGCAGCGCAAAGCTGAAGAGGCGAGACTACGCAAACTACAACAAGAAGCCGACAGTGAGCTCAAACGTGATGAGGCCAGGTACGTTTTCTTTTCACACCCTGACACTCAGGGATAAGCAGCTGACTAAGGTGCGTGTGTGTGGGAAAGGGTACATTCTTGTCACAGAGTGTTAATTCTCCATCCTTTTCTTCAAGGCGTAAGGCAGAGGAGGATCGTGTTCGTAAGGAGGAGGAGAAAGCACGGCGAGAACTGATTAAGCAGGAATACCTCCGGAGGAAGCAGCAAGCGCTGATGGAGGAGCAGGGTCTGGTCAAACCTCGTCCAAGGACTAAATCCCGCAGGAACAGGCCGAAATCACTGCACCGTGAAGAGTCCAACAGCCTCTCCAAAGGATCCACCACACGTAAGAACAGCTGTGATACTTGCACTGCACATCATTTTTGTCCATTGCACCATGTTGTCTTGTCACACTGTCTGTTTAGAATAGTTTGTGTGTTTGTTGTATAATCTGATAGGCTGTGAGCGTGCACATTTTTAGTTAAGTTCACTTGTGCACGTTCGTTGTCATGCTCTGAGTGTATACATGTGTGTTGTACAGGTAATTCTCTGAAGGTGTCCATGTTGATCAAAGCCCAGGGCTCAGCAGCAGGCTGCAGGGGAGGTGAACCTTCTAACCTGCTCTGCATGATGTGATATCAGACATACACATCCCATTAAAAATAGTGGAGTCAGCTACAGGTCACATACTAGAAAGATCAGTCTTTTTACAGTAGCTGATTCTAACCAACTTATGACCCATTTGTCATTTTGTTATCTTGCCTTTTATGCAGATTTCTGTCTCTTGTTTGAATTGCAGGGTTTTGAACTGTTAGTATTTAGAGTAACATTACAGTGTTAATTTGGGTTACTGTTTGTCTAATGGAAATGGAACAGAGGTGGAATTAGGCAAACAAGAATGTCGTTTTATTTGTAAAGTAACAGGTACTAATTTCTTCTGTCTCCGTTATTTTCAGCTGATCTGAGCTGCAGTCATCGAGGATCAACCCTCTCTTTGGCGACTGAGGCAGACAGTGTCATCTCTGGAGGGGCAGAGTCACAGAGGTGAGGATTCCCATGTTGTGTCCAGAGGTGATACCCATTTTGCATATCCATGTAGTCATTTGATTGACCTATACGTTCGTCTTCCAGGGCTGGATCTGTGTGCTCTATGGAGTCGTTCCCCATGCTGAGCAGGGCATCTAGCAGGAACATGGAAAGGGACTGGGAGAACGGCTCCATAGCCTCCTCCATCACCTCTACAGAGTATAACGGTGAGCAGAAATGCAGAAAAAGACTATTAATTTAAAAGATGAAAGTTTTGGATTATTGATTACCACCACACAGCATTCATTTGTGCAGAACATTTTCAAGCCAAGAGAAAAAATATATTTGATCTTGTCACTTCCTTTAGAGAAACACTTTTGGGAAATGCGGTTATTTGCTTTTTTGCCGGGAGGTAGATGAAAAGATCGATACCAATATGTAAATGTAAAAGCATCAATTTGTTGTTTTATGAGGGGATATGTCATGGAACAATATCTTTTATACATTTCTCTTCTTTTTGCTTGTAAAAGGTCCAAAACTCTTCAAGGAGCCGAGCTCCAAGTCCAACAAGCCAATCATCATCAATGCCATCGCTCACTGCTGCCTGGCTGGGAGGGTTAATGAGCCCCAGAAAAATGTTGTTCTGGAGGTCAGTGTCATCACTTGAAGTTTATTTGTGATTGTTGATGTGATTATTCATTGTGAGGTGGGTATAAACTAAGCCTACAGTATATAACTATTGGTTAACTGTGTTTTGTCACAGGAGCTCGAAAAGTGCGAGTCCAACCACCTGATCATCCTCTTCCGTGACGGCGGGTGCCAGTTCCGCGCCATTTATTCTTACTCACCTGACACTGAGGAGATCATCAAGTTCACAGGCACTGGACCACGCACCATCAGCCGAAAGATGATCGACAAGCTCTACAAATACAGCTCGGACCGCAAGCAGTTCACCGTCATCCCCGCCAAGAGCGTGTCGGTCAGCGTGGACGCCCTGACCATCCACAATCACCTCTGGCAGGTCAAGAGACCGGGGAGTGCACGGAGGAAGTGAGAAAGAGGAGGAGAGAAAGACAAATGGACAGTTTCTGTTCTGATCTACGACTGTTGGGCAGGACCCAATAATCGTGGAGATGATTGACATGTGATCATGTGTCCGACACGTCAAGAGATAGAGGAGGGTTAGATGTTCTCAGTTATGGAGATGTCAGTCTGTGGCAGTGCAAGAATATGAAACACCTGCCAAGTGAATGCACTCTGTTTTTTCTTTTTTTTTAGCTTTTTATTCTGCATGTCACACATTTATGTTTTAATTTGTAGGTACATCCTACACTGATTAGGCACTATGGACGATGGATTCTTATGTAGCAGTGAAGAGGAAATGGACCCTGGGGTCGAAAGCTACTGAATCTACTTACAGTAGCAAGCATACTACTGATACCAAGTGCAACTACAGACATGCAGTGGTGAAAAGTCACTTGATAATGTCTTGTAAAGTTTGCTATTTCAGCTTGGCAAAAACAATTACCCTACTGCTGTGATTAATCCAGGCTCCACATACAGAGCCCCTGTTTATTCACCAGTAACTACTACTGGTCAGTGCTTTTGTGACGAGGGAGCTTTGAACAAACTTTTTTATGTAAGTACGGAATGGATGTAAGTGAGTGGTAATGTCCAGTCTTGTTTTCTATTAAGTGTGTTTGGGGAAGTGTGTGAGTATTTGTGTTAGGGAAGTGGAGAGCTGAATGCACCACTTGTGCATCCAGCTCTGAATGTTTACTCTCTTGATTATGCTTTAAAACTTCTGTCATGCAACAGAACAATGGAGCAAAGCAACACAACTGTTTTTTTTTTTTGTTTTTTTTGTTTTTTTTTTTGTTTGGAAGCTGCTGTTACGGTGGAAGAGAAATAATGTTTTTACAGGAGGGGGAAATTGTACTAGTATTTATTCCAAACAAGAAGCGCTTTTCAGACTCAGTGCATTATAATCAGTAGTGCATTATATTGTATTTACTTAGTACTTGTATTCCACCACCTGTATGAGCCGTCTGAGATCCCTGACTGGCTCATACCGCTGAACCAAAATGAACTGAGTTATGCCACTGAGATGTTTGCTGCTCATTAACCGCTCACTGGATTCTGGTGAGCGTTAGATTTTAATGTAGCTTCTGGCGTTCAACACTAGTTATATCCCTGTAATGACTGACTGTCAGCAGCTGGTATGATGTGGGGGGGGGAAACTGCACAATACTTGATATTTGTTTGCTGCATTTGTACATTTTTGAGTAGTATTTTTTGTACATTATGTACAAGTTATGTTTACTAAAAAAGCAGGCACTATTTTGAGGTTTATTCTGTCACAAGCTTTCAGAGATGTTATCAGTCTTATTTCATTGTGTTATGTTGTTTATTTATTTTAAAGAAATATAATAAAATGCAACTAGGTACGTTTTCTTGCTAAAGTTGCAGTGGTCTGTGCGCATTTAACATGTGCATCTGTTCCTTATCACTTTACTTCTCTTACTTTGCCTCTGCCTTCCTGTTTCTCTGCTGCTCACCGTTCCCTCTCTGTAAAGTAATGGTACTCATACCACACTGTAAAAATACTCTATTACAAGTTAACATCATGCACTGAAAATGCTACAAAAGTATTATTATCTAAATGTCCTTAAAGCATCAAAAGTAAAAGTACTCAATGCAGAGAAATGGCCCCTGTGAGTGTTACACTTCTAATAATATACAGTAGGGCTGCAGCCAATGATTATTTTCATTATGGATTTGATTTGTCAAACACAAAACATTAGTGAGATAGTGAGAAATGGCCGCCATAATTACCCAGGGCTCAAAGCCTTCAAATGTCTTGTTTTGTCCAACCAACAGTCTAAAATCTAGTTTAATCGTTCACAAAGCATCATGTTTTAAAGGCATTCCAAGTCAGATACATCAAATTAGTCCTTAAGTACAGTGCTTGAGTTAATATACTCAGTAACCCCCAATAAAACCACAACTTGTTTTTACACTTTGGTGTTTGTACAAATTAGATTAGAAAAAGACTTAAGTGCCATTACCTGATCTTTCTGTTGCTGTTTATTTCCCACATACGGCTCATCAAGCCCCCACATGCCCACGGTGAAGCCACACAGGTGTTTTCATTTGTTTCCTGATTAGACCTCTTCTCCAGTCCTGATTGTCAGTTCTGTGGCTCCCTTGTTATTTTAGTCACACAGCTCCTTCCTTCCTTTCTTTCTTTTACATCACCACTTTGTTTCACCCTTCACTTTGTTTCTTTGCACTTAATGTTGTCTCCTGCTTTCCATTTACACTGTTAACTATGACAAATGTATTTCCTGCTGTGTGCTAAATTTAATTTACCAGCCTTCACCACTGACTATCAAATGTCAGCCTTTTCCTTTATATTCCCATTCCAAAGTTAAACACAGAGCAATGCTGAGTCTAAATCATTAGACAACTCAAAACAGTTTCAATGTGCTTTTTCCTACTATCGCACTTTAATGTGCAAATTAAAATAAAATGAAACTCAAGTACAAATATTTTCATATTTAAACATTTAAATATGTAAGAGTTGCAATCAAAAATTCTTGTGTACAGGATGTAGCATTTTAGAAATACAAACCTCACCCAAACAGCCACAAATCACTGAGCAGTGCTGAAAGTAAAATGAGGTTGTCTGATTACTTAATGAATCCTTAATGGCACAATATTTAATATATGGCACAGAATATTTAGGGTTGAACTCAGGTCTTATAGTGCACAAACCTCATCCAACCTAAGAAATGTACCGCAGCGAACATACAAGTAACCACCACTGTTTGTAGACCTCTACACGACTGAATAACTAACCTCTACGGTTCAGCTACAAAAAAATAAGCTTTATATAAAAGCTTTAAATGCACATATTTTATTTAAGTCACATAGTGTTGAATTTTATGTTTTATTTTATGTGAGTGATGGTTAATAGGTATGTATGGCACAAGGAAATTTTGATTATTTGCATCTGATTTGTGGTAATCTCAAACAAGTAAGGAAAAGATGGATGCATCCCAGAATTTCTGCTTTGCTCTGGACCCACGACCCAAAAGGAGCAGAAACAAAATGGACAGTTCAATGCAGACTTTTAAATGACAGTGACCCTTATAAGGATTTTTCCTGTGATCTCAAGTGTTTTTGTCTGGTGAATCAGATTACCTCTAGCCAAGGGCAACACTGCAGGTGGGGTTGACCTGATTGAAATCTCCAGTTAGTTGAATCATTTTTTTTTTTTTTTTTTTTTTTACAATTGTGTCCCTGACTGCTCTTTGGAGAGAGCTTTCACAGAAATAAATGCACTATTCATACATACAGTGTCTGTGGCAAGAGGATGAAAATGTCACAGATGACGTCAAACATCATCTGCCAAACAGTAGGCACTCGTATAATACAGCGGTAGACTGCCGTGCTGGAACATAATAGCACAAATTGTCCTCTGTCAGACTGGACCTGTGTGGACACAGCCACACCCCCCATGAAAACTGAAGGGGGAGATTAGGAAGGAGTGTACCAGTGAAGGTCAGCATGCTATCAGAGCTGGGTGTCCTCTCTGGTGTCTATGCTGGACTCGTGTCTCTCTTTCAGGCTGCTGCTGTGGACAGGAGGCTCCTCGGGGACGTGTGCCAGAGGGTCCGAACGAATCAAGTACCTGAGGGGGAGAGAGAGAGAGAGAGAGAGAGAGATAGGGCAGGTGAGTGTTATCACATGTGAGCACCTGCACTCAGGCACTTTCCTATACCAATCCCAACTCACCAACCCTTCACTACAGGAGCCATGAAGGGCGCTCTGCTTTAAAGAAGAGGAGCTAAATAAACAAACTGTGGGATGCACTCGCCACTATCCATCATGAGCAGGAGACAGCTGTCACCATGGATACTGATAGGTGCCCTGTTCACTTTCCTCAGTCTCCTGTAAATGTATAATCTTTCCAAAATAATACACAAAAAATATATGGTTAAGCACATTCCTTATTAAATCAGTATAAACTCATTCATTTTATTTATTTTGTCACAGATAAATTATCACCTTATAAAGCTGTTGAGGCTAACCTGTTAGTGCACCTAATAGGTGCTTATTACACATCCAGCAAACACGAAACAACATTAGTATTAATTAGGAGTCCTGTTTCTTTTGGCACCTGATGAATTTAAGACCAACATTCGCTCTTCTTTGAGCTATATTTTGGTCTCCACTGGGGTAAATATCTGGCTCTTTAGCTGCTAAATGCTCAACTATGTTCACCAGATGGTCGCTAACTTTGTCTGTTTGTTGCCATTTGGTGCTGAGCAGGTAGCGACGGTCTGTTTATCATCCACTTCTCAGCTGAAGAGCACCACCTGCTGCGGCTGAAAACAAGGTTGATAAGAGTAAAGTTGCAGCCTGTAAAAACCAAAACAATGAGCTGTAAGACAGTAAGACACAATGAGAGGATGATTATCGGTGGGTTCATCACATGCCCGTAATCATTTGCTCCTAATTGCTTCATCTGTTTACAATATAAAAATATTGATTCCTGAAGCTTTAAGTGATATATGAATGTATGAAAATATGGGTAAAGGAAATTACACTGACAAAGTTGTATATACAGTATATACTGTATATATATATTTTTTTCCCTTAAGTGATTTTATATAAATTACATGTAAAAAATCTGTGTTTTGCCATTTTTTTTTTGCATCAAACCTTTTTTTTTTTATAAACATTTACAATTACTCATTTGGAAGACACTCTTATTCAAAGTGACTTACAAGTGAGGGACAACACTCAAGCTTCAGTAGGAGACCTTGAAGAAAGAATTAAATCTGATCAATAAGGTGAAGTGCAAGAAGAATACGTAAAGAAGTGCACCCAAAGTGCACAGTAAGTGCTAGCTTGGCATGTTAGGGTGTTAGAGGTTTTAGGAGAAGAGGTGCTCTCGGAAGAGATGAGTCTTCAAGAGATTCTTGAAGGCAGAGAGGGACGACCCGCCTCCGAAAGCATTCAGTAGCTTGTTCCACCTTCAGGGAACCACAGACGAAAACAGTCTGGACTCAGATTGGCGTGTGTGCAGGGGTGGCATGGAGGAACGCCTTGGAGGAATGCAGTGGTCGAGAAGGAGCACTGTGTGTGACTGAGTTCAAGTAGATGGGTGCAGACCCAGGAGTCTCTCTGAAGGCATGTAATAGTGACTTGAATTTGATCTGCTTTGATTATCACTTGGATTCATTTCTGACAAAATGTACCCAGTAACACACATGCAAACATATCCAGTAATAAGACAGCTTTGAGAGAGCTGAGAGGTAAACAGCAGTACTAATCATATGTTATAAGGTAAGTTGGGAGCAACATAAAGCAGTAATGCTTACACAATGTCATTGAGCTCCAGCCTGGTGTCAGGAGAAGGGTTGATCAGGACGTACGACAGGGTGTTTTGGTGATCGTTCTGTTCATCTGAAACAGAAACAGCACAGTCAGCAAACTGGAGCAGTCACATCTGTATGAAGATGTTATGATCTAATACCTGCCATAGGATCAAGATTTAAATGCTGACCTTGTAAGTAGCCCAGATTGACTCTGTTCATGACGTCACTGGCTGTCAGATTAGTCAGGTCTTCTACAAATAACAGTTAGACAAGAACCAGACAAACTTATGAAGCAGACGTGAAAGTCTGGGAAAGGAAAGCAATGAGTAGTTGGCTTCCATCCTCACCATATCCTGAGGTGGGCAGGCCCAGATGCCTCATGCGGTTGCGGACCAGTTCAGACAGCTCCTCCCTCTCGGAGCGTCGGTAGAGGTTGAGGCGCTGCTGGGCGATGCGCTGGGCGTGGTCCTTGCTCGAGTCCCGATTCGCCCCCTGCCACCTCACGCTTTTCTTACTGAGCCGCCGCGCCCACTGCATGCTCTTCTTCCTCAGCAGGGGGTGATCTGATTGGTCGTTGCCGCGAGACTCATCCCCTCTGTCCTTGGTATCCTCGCAGTCGTCGACACTGACTGACACCTGAGACTGGGGTGTGGAGACAGGAAGTTACCTCTACAGCCAGAGTGCTCATCATAATAAAAGCAACAATAATTCTCTAATTCATCTAATAATCCTTAGATGACGTAATAATGATTTTTAGTTACCGGGAAACGTATCTTAATGACTTTGGCTCATGTAGTCTCATCATTAGGCTAAATATATTTAGTATTCTGGTTTATAAACATAATTATTCACATAATGCACTTAAGTGCAATTTTGAGGTAATTTACTTAAGTATTTCCAATTTACATTACTTTATATTTCTCTTCCACTGCATTTCAGAGGAAAATAATTAACTTTTTACAGACAGCTGTAGTTATCATTATTATAGATTAAGCTTCACAACAGCACATAAAGCTGTTGGAATAAGCCCCACAATTACCAGCTGCAACATTAGTGATGCTTACATCAAATAATTATAATCCAAAAATATAATATATATCATTCTAAAATGGACCATTCTGCACAATGACGACTTTAACTTTTGGTACTTTAAGTTTGAATTTAATGAACTTTTACTAAGTAGAAGGTCTGAGTACTTCGTCTGCTACTGGTGACTATTTACTCAAAGCACTCCTGTGTTTAATACAGCCTCACACAGCTGCTGGCATGAGTACAGGCTCACAGTCCTGTTATATATTCTGCTAAAAACCAGGGACTACAAGCTTATTTGAAATGAATAAATATAGAAATGATTTTGCATTGCAGTTTGATATTTAGCTTGATACTGCTTATAGTATCCTCCTCACCTCAGATGTAGAGAAAATGTGGGATTCTGTCCGATAGATCCCGATGGGAATCTCGGCACTAGAGGAGCAGAGTTTCTGGAACAGTCTGCCGTAAGTGCTAATCCATAGATCTTCCTCTGTCACTTTCATCTGGAACAAGAGATAAATGGGTATACTATTAGTTTAGTTGACTGGAGTCTGGTACTGTTTCAGATCATAACTGCTGTATGTCACTCACAGCACAGAGGTATCCTGATCCAGGAGTGGTGTCCAGTCCCAGCAGCAGCCTCGCAATAAGGATCATGTAGTCCTTCACAAAAGACTGACATGCAAACACAGAAAAATCCCTTTTGTAACTATAACTTTGTGTGAACACTGTGCTCATAAGTAAACCAGAGCGCACTCTGTGTCAGTGACTGAACACAAGAGGGCACTTTCGCTCAATGTTGGTACAGCTGCTCTGTTTCCTCAGGCGATACTGTTTCTCTGCTGCTTTAAGACACATCCATTCTTTTCACCTGATATTAAAAAGAGTCATCTGAGACTAAGCAGTTAGCTGTAGGTGTGTACCAACCTGATAGAGCAGAGTGTCCAGCATGCTGATACTGAACACTCTGCCTGCAGCGAAGGGTAGGCGAAACATGAAAGCCAAGTTGGAGCCTTTATCTCGCTCCTTCTGTCAGAGAGACCCAGGACAAAGGCAAAGGAACGATGAACAACATTTACAGGTCTGTCACTTTCTTGGCAGTTTACAAAGTCCCATGGAAATGGCAAACATAATAACAGCGTCAAGACCAGCTACTTAAAAAAAAAAAAAAAAAAAAAAATGTTATCTTCTCTTCAAAATTCCTGTTATTCATACTGTGTGATTCAGTGTAAGCCCTCTTGTAATGTCTCACCTTCTCCAGCTTGGAGAGAGCCAGTGAATAGCAGTCCTTTGCTCTGAACTGCATGAATCTCATGTTGGATGGATGAGTAAGCTCTGTGATGATGCTGAGACTGGGAAACAACCTGCAACAGGAGAGAAAAACATGAATCAGAAAATGTGACTTAATATCACAATTTATTTCCAAACTTTCAAAGTTATTTTAGCAAATGCTGCTGTTATCTCTGATCTATTGAGCCTCCATTGAGCCGATAAACTGATGTGATTACCTGAACATCGTCTGTACATTGACAATCGTTTTGGCATCAGCCATGTAGTCTTCCTCGGCACTCATCGTACTCTCTTTATCCACAACAACCAAATTATCGGCGTAGATAATGCCACACTGCAGCAGGCTGTCAAGACTGAAACACACACACACACACACACACACACACACACACACACACACACACACACACACACACACACACACACACACACACACACACACACACACACACACACACACAGTCATTGACATAAAGCAATCCCTAGCCCCTTATCCTAACCTTAACCATCACCCTTTAACCTTTAACCAAAACCTAATTCTAACCTCAACCATAAAACCAAGTCTTTACACTCAAACAGCCGTTTTAACTTGTGGGATTGGGCGTTTTGGTCTCTATAAAACTGTCTGACACCACAAGTTATAGTGGGCTCCTGGTGTTCAGACCCAACAAATATAGTAAAATAAACCCAAACACAATGAGTGTAACGACAGAGGAACATACTGTACAATTAAATCTCAAAGAAGCACATACTCCCCCTCAATATAAATGAGAAAATAAATGTAAAATTAAATTTTAATGAAAAGCAGAAGTTTTTACGACATTCTTACTTGTCTATGCTCCCAGCCATGTAGTAGACCATAGGGAAACAGCAGATGGCCTCCAGAAAGTGATTATCTGGACTAAAAAAAACATAGATGATATAGAAAAATTTGTTCCATTATTTTTCTTTTATTTACAAAAAAACACATAGTTTGGTGAGATTAAAAAAAGAAATAGTTTGTTTAAACATGACGCACTAAGTCTAAATTGGCTATTCAGATAAGAAATATTTTAGTTTGTCAGTTACTTGGACAAAGGCTGAAAGAGATAACCTTTGGACTTGTAGCGTTTCTTTTCTGCGCAATTTATTTTCAGTTTTGGTCACTAACAGATGTTAACTGAAATGAAGTTGGTTTTGTACATGTGTTACCTGAAGATGTGTTGTATTGTTTTTGACATTTGATATTTCAGTTGGGCCAAATGTTCGGCCAGACACAGAAATAAAAATGAATGAACTATATAAAAAGTATATATCATATAGACATATATATAGATAATTTAAATCTCTATGTCAGTTGCTACTCCATACAGCAACTCTACGCCAACATTTGCATCCAGCAAAGAAAAAAGACTTTATTGAAGATTTTTGGGCAACTACACACTAATTACACTCAAACTACTTTCCAACTGCTTTAGGAATGTATGTGGTTACTATGTGAAAATGTGCAACAGTAAGTATCAGAGCCTCCGGAGCCTCTATGGTAGTTCAACTTCCTACTTAGAGTGTCTTTAGGCTGAGTGATGAGTCCATCTGTTGCTGTGTGCACTCCGAGAGATTTAATCGCTTTATTACTGCCTGTCCTCTAACACCACATATGATGGAACATTACTTTATGCATCTGCCCAGTCCTGGCAACTAGAGACCCAAGGCTGTGGTAAGTGCCTGAATTGCATATCCAAGTGTGTGGGTGTTTATGTTTGTGCATGTGCGAAAGCGATAGGGAGAGGGAGGGAGAGAGTGATGCATGGAGGGAGAGTTTATTGTTATGTGCGTGTTTCTATGAGCGTCCTGAGAGCTCGCATGTGGGGGCTGAAAAGGGACACATCAGGGCTGTCGATGAAAGCCTGCTTGGTGTTCTTCAAAGGAATCATTTTCTCCATCTTTTTCTCCCCTCGTAGCAATAAATATTAGTCAGGTTCAAGGCAAAGCAAGTTGCCATGACAACTGTCTGGAGATACAGAGAGCAGCGTTTTTATTTTCTTTGTTGCTCAAAACACTCTGTCACTGTGAGCGGCATCACTAACCTAACATCAGAAATGACAATGGAGTCCCACCTCCGCAGCCTTGTCCTAAGTGCTCGGCTGACGTGAGCTATTAGCGCTGTAACGTTTCCCACCGTGAAATAGTGAAAGACAGAATGAAGGGCAGAGAAAGGAGCAATGTGTGTGTGTGTCATGTTTGTGTTTTAAAGTGAACTCACGGGTTATCCAGCAGCAAGACAATGGGGTTGAGTTCTTTCCTGGGTCTGTAATAAGCTCTGAGAGGCACTATGAAGTTATAGAGACCGTTCCCCGCAGTCTCCGCAGACACAATGATGAGTTTGTTTTTAAAACCATAAGCCTTGGCATCCTCAAAACTGTTGTGCCTGCAACCCTGAACAGGGAGCGAAGAAAAAAAAAAACAGGCAGGTATTTTTGGTTTGCTTTTATCAAGTGAAGGACAGAGAGACAGCAGAGGAAATGTACAGTAAGGAATGATGGAGGCAGTAAGTAAGTGAGTGACTAAGTTGGAGGAACAGCGACTGCCCACCTGGTCCAGTCGTAGGCAGCAGAACGGGGCTTTTTCAGCCAACAGATGGCACAAGGTGGGCGAGCTCCCAATGTACGGAGAGTTAGGGGGATAACCTTTCACGTACCTGGCAACAAATCCAAAAATCATGAATGACACATTCAATGGAAACATACGGGGTCAGTTTCAAGCTTATTTCCAGGACGTTAAGAGAACAATTAGCGGTACGGTTCAGAATATGCAGAATCTACTCATTTATTCATGCTGCCTTGGAAATTAGCCAACAGTGCTTTCAAGTTCAACTGCATGCTGGGTAAACTAGTCACAGAACAGGTAAGGAAAATATTTTTGTCTGTTTTGTACAGATATTTAGGGAGGTTGCATAGTGTTAAACAAACAACATTTAGTTGGAGTCAGTCTGATTGTTTGCTAAATTTACATATTGGATTTTGCAAGTTGAGCAGATGTTTTTGTCTTAACCAGAGATGCAACAGCATCAACTGACTGAGACTGACTGTGGAACTAAAAGATCAGTTTACACACAAACTAAAAGACGTTTATATCTTTAGTCATGCTCTGCCTCCATGTGTTTGGGTTTTTAAGGAACAGGTATTAACACACACACAGAAATATAATCCTCACTCAGTAGATGAGTGGTCTTTGTCATCTATGAAGACGGAGTCATCTTCTGATTGGTCACTGAGGAGGTCGCATGGCAGGATTGAGGACGAGTCAGCGAGCTCCTGAACTGGAGCGATGCTCGGCCGGCGGCTCCCTGTGCCGTTTACTGTAGGCGGGACTAGTTTATCACCTGAGACGTCAGGTGGACTCGTGTTCTGAAGATCCATGGCAACAGTACCTATAAATATATCCAACCAACATCTCCTCAGTTTCATCAAATTCATCAGTACCTTTCAGACCTCTCTCATCAACAGGATCATTTGATCACATACTGCCTCCTCTCTCACCCATGCTAGCGATGATGCTGTGCACAGGAAGCTGTGAGGGTCCGTCGTAGATTCCCCCGGCAGGGCGGCCCTTCCTCTCCTCCTGGTTAAAGATGAAGGCTGAGTTTTCCTCCTTAGTGATATTGATGTAGTAGCAGGTGTCGGTGGCAGCCATGATGTGGCGCGGGCCAGGGTTCAGCAGGATGCTCTTGTTCTCTTCCCTCTTTATACCGATCAGACACACGCCGTACCTGGACATCACATACCTGCTGTGAGCGTATTACTAGAGGCAAATATCTGACAACAAAACTGTCTCATTACATTTTACACCATAAAAACACAAGACCTGATAGCTATGAACTGAAGCTTGAGGCTCAAAGGAATTCTTCAACATTCATTTGCTCTCTCTAACACCAACAGTATAATCAAAATGTTAAGTTTTGCTCTTTTTGCGTTTATTTATCTGTATGATAATCATATTAAACTAAGATGAGACAAAAAAAATGCTGCTGTACTTAATCATGCATACTCAAATCCACAAACAGCAATCCCTGTAAATGCTGTGAGGTATTTCCAACTTGTCAGCATCTGAAAAAGATGCTTTAGCTTACATGTCAACTCACTTCTTGTGAGCGTGAAAGGAGGCATATGTGAAGCTTTTGCCATTATACTCCCCAAAGAACTTGCTGTCGCACAGTCGGATGTGGTACACCTCGTTGCCAGAGCAACATCCGTACATCCTCTGCCACTGCTCCGGTGACTGCTGTCCTTCTCTGCATTCATTCAGAGAAAATACAAACAAATGTAGAATGGATCAGTAAACCTGATACCTTTTAAAGTGTTAGAAATTAACCATGTATGCTGATGTACATGCACAGAGTCTATGAGAATATCTATTCAGGATCAATCATTATTATCATTCACAAAGGGAAAACTCTCCACCTCCTCTCCCCACATCCCCTCCAGCGGGTGATGCTGGGTCTCGTAGCTAATGAAAGCAGACGGCTTCATCCATCTGTCAGTCAGTCAGCTTGGCTCTTATATGCCCGTTGTAATGACTTTCGGTAATTACATTAATTACTCAAGCACTTTGATGGAGTTTAATGGGCTACGAGAGATGCGCAAGGAAGCAGTTTACATACTTACATGCTTATAAATCATATTTCACAATTTGTGGTTTCCATGCAGTAACTCATTGCGAAAGGCAAAACAATATGCTCATTATTATCAATATCAACGAGTCACTTTTAAATGTGTTTCCCTCTAAATGCCCTTGATGAGATGCATGTATCTAAATGTATCTTGTGAACTCAAAGACGCCCACACATGTCATGTAAACACATATACAAGGGCACATGTGCATGAACGTACTCCCTTATATACAGATCAGACAACAGTCATACACACCTTTGGGGGTAAGGTGTGCAATCTCAAAACCTGTACGTCTATAAAAATACACAAAGCTCTACTTTCTAAAGAGTTTTCAGGAACACAGGAAGTGCTAAAGGGCCATTAAGTCCATTTAAAGGCGGTTTCCTTCAGCCATTTACATCAGCTTTTAAAAGTTTGCTGTTTGCATGCTGTGAAAAATCATTTTCCCCCCGAGAGCTTTTCACACAGTTTAACAGAGAACACATCCTCAGAAATCAATGTACGCCTGTTCTCTCTTTTGGTTTAATGCACTCTTTCTCTCAATGTCCTGCTGAGTTCCACAATGAACTAAGATTTTGTCCATTGCTTGCTTCTTCATTCTCGCTCTGCGCCAGTTTTATGGAAGCCACATATATATATATACACATCAGCAGACATGAACATGGAAAGAAATTTGAACTTTGTGATCACACTAAGGAGAAATCAAAACGCCTGAGGAGGCCTGGTTAGGCAAGATGACTGACCGTCCACGGGAGGTGTGTACAAGCAGTGTGACCAAGGTGGAGGTGGCAGGACAAACACAGTTAAGAGCCAACATGGCGTACTTGAACTCTTCTTCACACACAACATGATCTGAAAGCAGAAGAAAACGAGCTGATCAGAGGAGCTGCCCAAGAAGTAAAAGTTATGATATGGTATTCCACAGGAAAGATGCTTTATAGGTGAAAAATCTGGACATTTTGGAAAATATATTTGTTTGCTTTTGGTCAAGAAAAGATGAGGATAGTGATACCTGACTCTTATCTGTCCATTGAGTAATGAGAGTCATTTAACTTAGTGTGAGATCAATAAAGTTTAGTTTGAAGAGTAACTTCCTCTAAACTTCAAAAATACACCTACCAACACCTCTAAATCTGGCTAAATTTGTATCAAATGTATATTAAACATCCAGCAGTCACAGAGCAACAGTAGAGTTCATTGGAAGTTGAGTTTTATATACACTCTGTTTAGCTCTGCTTTTAGTCTCCACCCACTCCTGAGGGACATCTCTGGCTTTTTAGCTGCTAACTGCTCCACTATTCTCACCAGCCATCCAGTCTTGTGAACCACTGTTAAGATAAGAGTATTGATACTGAGTATTGATACCGTTTAACACAGAAATATGAGAGTGGTATCGTTATTATGTGGTGAGGATGGAGTGGTATTTTCATTTAACTCTTGGCCAGAAAGCAAATAAGTGCATTTCAGAAAACTATTTCAAACTATTTCTTTAAGGAGTGTAACGTGAATGTAGCATTTCACTGAAGGTTTAGAAACTCTCACCTGCAAATTTAACATGGAACTTATTTTCAGGTTTGAGTATCTGGACATAAAGGGGGCAATTAGGAGCAAAGTCCTTCACAGCCCAGGCTCTCAGGATGGTCTGATGGTCCTGAGTAGAAACAGTGAAAGATAATGCATTTTCACTGTTACATTTATAGATTCATCTCCTTTAATTAATTAGTAATTGGCTTCATAATTGACAGCATTATTGAGCCGAGTTTGTGTAAACATATAAATGACAATTCATGATTGATAAAGAGGCAGAGAGTTGATAAGTTGTTCTTCTTACCGCAGCCATGCGATCTACCTCGTTGCGACTGCTTAGAATAAAACAAGCCTCTGCGTCATCCATTCTGCAGAGGTGACATGAAAAAAAAGGCAAATTACATTATTACAGAGCAGCAGAAAAAAAAATCACAAACCCTAACGCAAAAGAGTCAGCCAATCCACCCGCAACTGAATTGACCTTTGAACAGTCAGAGGTGATAACGGCAGCATCCACTGATTTGATATTCAGTTTAAGATTGCATATAGACGGACACACAAAAGACCATCCACAAATGCTCTGCACTATGTATGTGCAGTGAAAGTGGAACTGTTTTTGCATATGATTAACACAGCCAGGAGAGTGCAGAATGCAAAACAAGTGTGGGAGGATTTGAAATGGAGCCAGATGCAGGATGTAAGCTAGACACACACCCAGTCTCTACCTCTAATTGCACAAATCCCTGCCAAATGTATGCAGAGAAGTTATATAACACATTTTCATCAAAGTAGTACTTATTTTTGTGTCAGGTTTTCCATACCATATGGTACAACTGCAGGTGTAACTCTACAAGTGAGGATCACAAAGCTGTTTTTGTTTGTTTTTTTATTGTGTTCTTTTGCCATCCTATTTCATGCCTTTGCTTTCTGTTGTTTTACTATCACACTAACATAAGGTTGGTAGACTCGCAAGAGACAGATAAAAACATGAATGGTCAAATTGAAGCAGCAGAGATAATTTTTTCCTTGTATAGCTTCAAAGATCCACAAATTTTGGATCCTACATTTCCCATAATGCAGCATCTTTTTTTTTTGTTAGAGACTCATCTGGGTTATATTCTGAACAAGCATTCCTCCAGAGCCAAAGAAGACATTATTCAACTGCGACTACTACCAAAGATGTGATTAAGGCTACAGAAATAAACTTGACTTCACATAGAGATTGACAGCAGTTTTTTAATCCTTTCATCGGTGTTCAAATTTTCCACATAGTGTCATTCATAAAACTTTTATGCCTAAACATGATCTGACGAATGTGAGACAGATCATGCTTGCTTTCCACAGAGAGAGTGCTCCTTTTAACGGCTGAGACGCAAAAGAAACAGTATAGCTTGAATGAATAATTACAATGTTGTCTGGGCATGAGGCCACACAATAGCTCTGACAAGCCTATTTACTAAGAAAGGGGTGATATCAAGGAAAAGAAGGATAATAGAGATTCACATCCTACTGATGGGAGCTTTGTGTTTTGCAGCAATTACTTATTCCAATCCCTGAAGGCAAAAATAAAATGCTGACATCCAGCATAGACAATCTGATGTGAGACAAAGCTGTGCAGCTGTGCATAAATGATGGAGTCACTGTTCAGGCCAACCACTAACATCTATCATCTTCCCAGTAAGCCTATTGGTAATGAAGATAGCAAAATTAGATCCATTTGTTTCACTTTAAATCACAGCAATTAGACCATTAAGACCCATTAGTGTTATTTCTCAGAACAAGTGGATTTGTGTGAGGAAGAATAGTCACGGTCAGTCACAAAGCAATGTCATCATGCTAGTCCTCATATTCTTCATTACACGGTGTTCACGCTGGTTTCAATCACCCACATTTCTGCTGCACATTCAACAGACTACACAGCCAAACAGCTGAGTATATTACCTGAGAGTGTGAGGCTGTATGATGCAGATGTGGAAAGTTACATTTAAAAAAAATGTCTCTGTTTTGGGAGACAGATGAATAACCATGTTACATGTAACATGTTTTTAGTTGTACAGGTATTTGTCATAAAGCAAAGTATTGCACAAATTAAAATTTTGACCTGATGATGGCGCTAATTGAAAAGTTATCAGCAAAACTGTTGTTGCAGTTCATCCTGTGTGGAATATGAACATCTGTAACGAGTTTAATGGCATCATCCATCAAACTGTTGTTGAGACATTTCTCTCAAAACCACAAATGTAAACTTGATGATGGCACAAAAGGAAAAGTCAGGGAATGATGAAAAAAATTAGGATGCATCCTCTGGGAAATACAAACACCTGTGCAAACCTTTTTACCAATTAATCCAGTAGATACTGAGATAAATTTAACTGGATGAATGTAACTTTTGACCTGCTGGTGTTGCTAGAGGAAGAGTCAGGGGAAAACCAAAGGCAGCAGGCTTCACCATGGATGTCTGAACAAATTTAATGGCAATCTATCCAATAGTCATTGAGATATTTCAGTCTGGACAAAAGTAGTGGACTGACCAAAAGTCAGTCACTTACTTGGCTCTCAGCAGATCCTGGTCTTTGAGAACAGATCCTTGCAGATAGATGACCCTTTGTGACCACAGAGGGATCTGCAGCACTCTCCGCACCTGCAGGTCCATTTCACTTGGGCACAGGATCACCACATAGTAATCCTGTAAGATTACACAACAATCACATCAGTATCTACAGTGGAATGCATGGAGAATCAAGCAGAACATCGTAATGTCACAAAATCTGCCTATAAATTTCCTTATTTGTCTCAGCTACTGTGTTATCTTAATCACAGGAGGTATTTTCTATTTAAATATCCTTAGAAACACACTTTACATAGTATTATCACATCCTAGATCTGTATTCTGGAGTATAAAAATGCATCCGTGTAATTTCCTGCCACGTATGACACACTGCATCTTGGTACCTGCAGTCTGGGATGAGCATAGAATTCATTGAGAAAATCCATGAGCAGGTCTATTTTGAGCGCGCTGACACACAGTACTACATGTTTCTCTGTCTGTGCTCTGTGGCGGCTGTAATTCCCTCCAGACTTCTGCCTCTCCATCCACAGGTAGATCAGCTCCTCAAACTGATACACAACAAGCTCAGCAAAACAACAACGCACAAAATAAACAGTGAAACATTACCCCACATTATTTCATGGTCTTCCTACCTGCAGAGGCAGCACCACCAGAGCCACACAGATCATGATGACTACCAGCAGCTGGGAGGGCCATATGCGGGGAGTCACGTCTCCAAAGCCCACGGTGGAGAAGGTGACGATGCAGAAGTAGAAGGAATTGAAGAGAGAGAGGTTCTTGCCTGCTCGTTCCAGATGTTGGATTCCACATGTGCTGCACACACAACACAACACAAAGTTAGCATTAATGACTACCATGCACTAATCATATAAAACAGTGACAGGCTGTCTGATGATTCAAAAGTACAACTGAATGTATCAATAAATAATAGATACTTAAAAAATATAAATGATAAATGAAACAATTGCAATAAAGTGTAAAAAGTTGTTGAGACTAATCCAGTTCAGTTTGTTTCTTGAGGTTAGTATTGATCCCCTGAGGAAAGAGCTGCTCCATTTAAACCCAAATGAATATTTATCAATTATTAATTTATTGTTGGAAACTTTGTTCTTTATGCATGTTTGCCTGTAGGGCAAAATGATTTCACATTTTTTCCATGTTCAACTGACCTGCAGAGAACTAATCAGTCTGTTGCGCTCTCGAGGCATTTTGAATTAATTGCAAGTGTGCCAACTGAGCACTCTGTTTCCCCCTTAATTAGAACCAACTAACATGGTTCTTTCTACAAAACTTGCACAAAACAAAAATTATTTGGAAATAATTAGGAATCTACAGACCCAAAAAAGAAAGTGCTACTTGCATTTCTTCCTTTCCACAAAAAAATTATAATTTTCCTTGTTGCTTTTATGACAAACATAAATAAAAATATAATAATATGCCAGGGAAGCATCTAATGGTTACTAGTTCATCACTGTACAAAAACCTATACATTATCAAAGATAGAATAAGTATCTCCACTGTCATACAAGTCTCCAATGTAACAGCAGCTCTGCAACTTATAAAGTTTTTTTTTCTTTTTAAATGAACAAAAGCATGACATAAATAAAATAAAATTTTAGAGAGGTGTTGATACGGACAAAAACATTAGATATATAACATGTTATAACTTTATAACGTAATGTACCACTGAAGGGTTGAAATGAATAATCAAATAGAGGTATATTGATAATACAAAGAGATTAAATAAGTGATTCAAACTAAAACTAAAGCTAAAAAAATCCTTGAAGAAGCAGCCTCACCCAGTGAAGACCAGGCAGAGTAAGGTGCAGATGAGAATGAGGACCTGGTTGAACATGGCTGAGTTTGTCCTCTGGATCGCCCTGTGGACATCATTCTACACCATAACGAACAACATGCTTTCATCAACATTTGAAGCTACAAACTCCAGGATATAGAGTACATACCCATATCAAAAACAGACATTAAACTTGGATTTATAAAACATTTCTGTCAATTATCGTACCAGGAATCTTTCACATAATTAGTTTAGCTGTTTATTGCAAATGGTTTTTCTCCTCGGGATGCTCCTTGCTGCAGCATTACAGCGTGAAATACAAAACATGATAAAATACAGAGGGCTGCAGATAATCCCTCAGTGGAAAACGCTCCAGGGTGCACACAGTCAGAGCAGAACCAGAGCAGGAGAAGGATGCGCTGTTGTCAACAGCAGCAGCCGCTCTTAATCAGTGTCGTAAAATGTCACCTGATCTAGGATAGTGTGGCTCGAAGCGTCTTGCTTTAACAAAGTCATTAAAATGTTGATTAAAAACAGGTCATTAACAGAGACCATTAAATTAAAACTTTTGACTCACAATCATGTTCTCCAGAGCACATTTGGCCAGCCAGCAGTTGAGGAACACGGGAATGAAGATGTTCCGAAGAGAGGGCCAGAAGATCTGAGGAAACAGGGAAACACTTCAACATTTCACATTTCCTCAGTGATGTCAGTCTCACATCAAAAACTGCACACCAGTGGAAATTACAACCTGCTCTTGCTATTAAATATTTTAACACCCAAAATGACTGGTTTTCCTGCAGTTTGTTGTCGTTATACATTTGTAGAAAATTGGCTTTCGATACTTTTGATTCTTGGCTAACATTGTACAGATATGAAAACAAGACTAACAGTCTACAGCCATGAGCTCTGTCAGACTGTACTTTGCCACAACAGTGATTGGATGTCAGCTTGCTAACACGCTCACACTGACAATGTCAACATGCTGATGATTAGCATATTTTGACCATGTTCACCATCTTAGTTTTGTGTAGCATTTGCTAATTAGCAAGTAGAGCTGAGGCTGATGGGAATGTTAATAGGTGTGCAGATATTTGGTCATAAACTAAAGCATTGGATGAACTAAAATTTTGATCTGATCATGGTGCTAGATAAAAGGGCAGGCTGTCTGTACCAAATTTAATAGCAATCCACCCATTTACTGTCACTAAAAAACAAAAAAGTCGTGGATTTCATCCTTGATCCTCTGGGGACCATGAATGTCTGTGAGATATCCATCCAATAGCTGCTCAGAAATTTCAGTTTGGACAAAGTGCTACACCTGCATTGCCATGCTGCTCGCTGCTAGCCACTAGTGTGGCTAAAAACTCTACACTCAAGGGAAATGTTTTCTTGTGTCTTAAATGTTTCACTGCCTAAAAAAAAAAAAAAAAAAAAAAAAAAAAAAAAAAAAAGACAACCCGCTATTATAACACTTCTCATTCAAAATGACTGGTGCAGAGGTACAGTATGTACATGTATAGTTCAGAGACTGACAGGACACATCAGACAACATGTGAAAGACATACTGCTACAAAAGACAAACTATGACATATTCCAGACAAGAAACAGACATTATAAAGTTAAAAGTTTTACTGTAATGATGAAGGGAACTGTGTTGATCATCTCCAGAAGAAAGGACACCTGGAATATCTGCTCCCAAATGTTCCCCTGAAATGAAAAACACACACAGGCTTTTTAACACTTTTATCTGCGTGCGCACAATAGACAGTGAGTCACTGCAAAGATACATTTCTTCATTGTCGTCTGTCACTTTCCACGACCACTTAATCCTTCACCTCCACCAGATCCTGTAATTACCGTCTATCCATAATGTAGCCGTGACAAATGACTTGGGATAATTACACCACTTATGGATTGTCAATCTCACAGACTGTAAGTGACTAATTGTACAGACTGTATTAATCATGCTGATGTGCCTGAAGTCTGGGTTTTGAGAGAGTGTGTGTGTGTGTGTGTGTGTGTGTGTGTGTGTGTGTGTGTCTTACCTTGTAGCTCAGATACATCAGTAACATAGTCTCCAGGAAACTAATGATGGCCACACTCACCTGTGCAAACCAAAACAGGAAGTAATTAATTCAAACTCATAAATTATTTAAAACATAACAACCATTTGAGAATCAATTTCATGAGAATTAAAACCACTGTGTTTTTATATTAATTTAGATGGTGAAGCATCTGTGGCTTAAATTAGGTGATCAACTATTTCATCACTTCAGTTCATTTATTAAGTTAATCATTATTTTTCTCTGTCTATATCCTGTTGTGACTCACTTGAATGGCCCAGACAGGAACCTTTCTATCCACCCAGAAGATCAACTCCCTGTCAGACATAGCATGTAACAGCAACATTTTTATTCACAGTTAACAATAAATATTCTCGACATCAGAGAATTATCTATTTTTATAGCATCAGTAAGAGATTAATACAGTCAGAAGAAGACATTCAGATGCCCAAGCTGTCAGTCATTTCATCTTTTGCAGAGTATTAATACAATAAAAGGTAATAGAAATGACAATGTGTCCAAGTAACAATGCACAACACTGATCTCATAATCAAAACACAAATTGCATGGAAGGTTAAGTAATAAGGTAAGTGCAGAAAATGAGGTAAGATCCCAAACAAAGAGCTGAAAGAACAAACACAGAATAATGCTCTTACTAAAGGCGACATCATAATGTTGTGCTAATTAGCCTTCATTAACAGAAATCACATCTTCTGCTGCTCACCAGTTAATTTCTCTGTCCTGCACTGATCCATTCCACTGGCAGTCAACACTGATGATGGTAAGGAAAAGAGAACAACATGATATCAAATTAGAAGTTGATGAACTAACAGTATGTGGTGAAGTTATCTGCATCGATGCCAATTCAATTATGTGAATCCATCAGTCTTTTACACCTTCATGGCTCATCTGTCTGAAACTAAAAACTGGATGTCTTCTAACTTTTGATGTTAGACACGGATAAAACTGAAGCCCAATCCTGATCTTTCTCCTCTGGCCGCCCATACACGATAGAGCTGGTTTAAGAGCCTATAAAGCACTACCCCTCTCAGACCTTGTTTCACCAAATACACCAGCACACATCCTATGTTATTTTGGTTCCAGTTGCCATGCAAACAACAAAAAACTTGTGTGGATTCAGAGCATTTTCATATTAAGGTTTATGATCTATTAATAACAAAATCACTGGTTGTGGAGTTTGTAATCACTGTGGTCTACCAGTCAGAGTACACGAGGATACCCTTCAAATGTCTCTTGTACTTGAGTAGAAGGCTGTACTGAAAGGAGCTTTGTAGACAGAGTGTCAATTCAATATCAGATATACTCGTGTAAAAGACTCTTGACCCACTGTAGCTTAATGCTCGGTTAAAAAGAAAAATAATTTGTTTCAGGTTTGATAAATATCAGTTCAACTTACTACTACTGGCACTGTCTGTTCAGCCACATATTTCCATCTAGTCTGGCAAGTCAAGTTACAAATATTAAAACATTCACTCATCCTATATTTACAATAAAAGCACAAAATATAAATCATACTTGCATATTATTTGATGCAAACAACCTCCAGCCAGAAAGACAACTTTTATCGCACACATATTTATGAAAGACTCTGGAGACAACTTGGTGACAAAGTAAACAAGCCAAATTACCAATGAACTACTCAAAGGAGCTGATTGGCCCTGGTGTGCTTCCCACTTATACCAGAACAGCGTCTTTAAACCCTCAAGACCAGAAACCTCATCTGATCTATAATGTATGACATTGCCATTATTTTCGGTTGTTTTTCATTTACTAATCTATCATTTGTACTGTATGTTAATGCTTCTGTTGTTTTCATTGTTTGTTGACTTGGCTTTTCTCTCAGTGTGAACGAACCATTTGTTGTTGCCATTGGGAGCAGTCTGCTGTCCTGCGCTGTGGCTGGCGCTGGCGCCCTGACCGGGGTTGTCTGTCACCACTCTGATGATATATAGCAGGCAGGTGAGCAGCTTCAGGGAGAAGTTGAACACACGAATCCTCAGGCCTGAGAGACATTTAAAAAAAACAAACAAACAAACCAAAAAAAACTTTTTGACTATAAGCAACACAAAAATCAGTGCAGAAGAAAAAGGGACTTATTGTGACTTGTGTAGATTTACAATAAATGCAGCACAGTGGTAATTCTCTTTAAATCTATGGTTGCTAAGCAAAAAACTTACTTGATCTTTGGTTTTTGATGAAGAAAAGCTTCAGACGCTCCTTGAAGGTGTTTTCATTCACATAAAACTCGACCTGTACCCTAACAGGGACGAGAGGAACGAAACTGTCACTCAAGAATCAGCAGCACAAACAAAAAGAGCTGCGCAGACATTTCTAGGAGCAGTTTCAAAGTGTCAAATATCACAGCATATCAATTTCTATACTGAATGAATATTCATAACGTTGTTTTTCTAATCATGTGTCTTAGGAGAGTTAGGTAATTATGTGTCTCTGATTTTTTTTTCCCCAATTACAAGACAGGGTTGCTGTAGGACACGCTGTTAATATTTGGGCTGTTTTGCTTTAATGCAATCTCAGAATAAAATGTAATACAACAAGTGAACAAAAACTTTCCGGCTAGAGTAAAGAATGACAATAAAATGCCAAATTAATTCCAGTTTTTCCTCATGATGAACATGTTGAGTGGCTGTGGCTGGGAGAAATTAGGAACACCTTTATTGCAATTACAAAAACATAAAATTAGATTAACTGTGCAACAACAGAGCAGAGCCCAGAAGGAGAGAAAGGGGGAAGTCAAAGAGAATAAGCACGACTCATACAGTGGGTAGCTTGGCAACACAAGGACAAGCTTTACACTATTAATATATAATCCTTTCAGGGGAGAGTGCAGACAGGGCATAATAAAAGAGAGAGTGCAAATGGAAGACAGATTAGAAGAATATGTGGAAGGTTGAAAAGCTTGTGAGGCAGTGCTGCGCCTCCTGCTGCTGCAGCCGCTGCAGTAATCCCAAGTTCTGGCTCGTGGCTGAAAGGTTCACAGTGGGAAGGAAAAGGCAGTGTGGGTTGTTGGATGCAAAGATATCGTTCGGCGTGCACTGAAACAGCTATTTCAGGTCTGCACGATGGTAAAACCACACCAAAGAGCGGAGAAAGCCATTCAGACATGAAAACAGAAAACACTGGAAGACAAATCCTCTGTGATAAGATCTGACAACAGCTGTCACATCTGGCCAGCAGCAGGGCAGAGAAGAGCTCTGGAGGTAAAGGCACTTACAATGAGAAGTGGCTCTCACATATGAGGTTGCTACAGATTGCTCATTGTCTGTTTGTCTGTGTGTCTCACCTCTTCACCCACACACACTCTCACACACACGCGCACACGCACACACACACACAGTGTTGAAAGTAATGACCCTTAATCAGCTCCTGTTGAGCGCACAATTACTAGCTGAAGTAGTCTGACATTAGTCATACTGCGGTGTCACATCAGAGTTTCAGGCAAGAAGAGGCGCAGCTCTGGGAGTAATTCGATCTTTTAAAATGACTAATTGCAGCTGAGGAAGTTCTGCAAGTGCGATCATTTTGCAGCTCTGAAACAGGCCTGCGTTTATCAAATCAGTTTGCCGCGAGGTGTTTGTCAACAACAGATAGAGACCTGTTGCTCTGGATACAAACAGTGAAAATAAAAACGAGTGTGACTATGATCATGAAAAATATGTTTTGGCATCACAACAATTAATCAAAAAATAAATTAGTCGATCAACAGAATATTTATCAATTAAGAAAAAATGACCTTGAAAATGCTGCCGCCTTTCTTTGTCTTATGTGACAGTGAACTGAATGTCTCTGGGTTTTGGACTGTTGGCCAGACAAAACAAGTAATGAGAAGATAAGTGTTAGTTACACCTCTAATATGAAACTCTATGAAATTAAGCTGAAATGATTAGTTGATTAATCGATTAGTTGATGATCATAAAAGTAATCAGAAGCTATTTTAAAAAACAATTACTTTTTAAATTCATTTTTGGCTGGACTGCAACAGTGGGGCCAGCCCTATAATCGTGAACGTCTGTGACTGACTGAGTGATCACAATTCCACCATTGCTCAGCCGAATGGCATGTGATGTCATCAGTTTCCTTTGACGTTGAGTTTTAGACAGATACGCTTAGAACAAAAACATTTATCTTGTATTATCAAGTCTGAAGTGAAGAACTAGAAAAGGTTTTTTTTTTTTTTTTTTTTTAAACTAGTTCTGTCTCTGTTGCCCTGGACTCCAAAAACCAAGGACCATTAGAAAGGCATCCAGAAACATGAGCTCATGGGGCACATGGTAGCAGTACCATACACTGGCCTTCATCTCCCAGGTGGACGAAACCCTGTTTGGGAGCCTGAAACCGAGACCACCAGACAAACATTGAAACTCCATGGCCAATAATAACTCCCAAGAAGGAGAGACTGTTCAAATCGTCACCAATGACAAGAAAGAAAACGCCAAATAGAGAGACAGCAGATCCAAGAGAACCAGGGGAGAGCTTCAACGATGTATGCGTGTCAATGAGATGAAAGAGGAGATGCTGAAGGAGCTCAAGGCCATGGGAATCCCTGGAAAATACTGCCTGCAAGTGGTAGTATTTCCAAGGGCCTCCACACAGAATCTACAGTGTCAGGAAGAGCAGACCCTGCTAATCAGGTATAAACAGACCAGTGAGGCTGACCTGAGGGCAAGCTCAGCTAAAGCCACTTTCTGCAAGCTCCAGCAAGCTCCTCTGCGGCATCATCAAACACCCATCTGAAATCCAGTCACACAGAGGTCCAAAAAACGAATGACCTGGACCAGCCTGATCCTCCATGTCCCGCCACATCCTCTCCCTTCCTCACACTCCCACATTTCCCTTCTGCTTTCCTTTTATCCCTTTTATGTTTGCATATGTGGGTTTCCTCTGTTTTCTACCATAATCCAAAAAACTTAAAAGGTGATGTTTTTGTTTTGTTTTTTTGCTAATTTAAAGTTTAATTACATGAATGAAACTTTAACTTTGCAAATTAAAAAAATTAAAAAAAAAAAAAAATTTCATAAGTAAATAACTGTAAAAAATATGATAAAATGTCTGGACTCAAATGATGATCACATTTATGTGCCTATGGCTCTATGGCAATATGCAATTTTTGCAATGAAGATAATTTTAAATTAGGATACACATAAGCCACTTACATATAAAGGGTAAACCAGTGTAATGTAGGAAATACTTCAAAGTAAAATAAATAAATAAATGAATGAATGAACAGTGTACACTGTTTTGTTAAATTGACAATGCAAAATACAAATACAAACATTCCAGGAGTGGAGGAATGGACATTATTAAAACAGCTCTACTTAAGTCAACATATCAAACTGGCTTTCTGACACTTTATGAGCCAAAAGTGATTAACTGAGAAAATAACTAATTGATAATTACAGACGTAGTTGTAGCAAATGTGTCCGCGAATAGAACAGGCAAAATAAATGACTTTCAGTCTCTAGTCACTGTAAATAAATAAACACGCTGTCATTTCTGTGCATCTCAGCAATTTTTTTGGCGCGCTTATCAAACGGAGGTTGTTGACTTCATCCATCCTGCATCTGCATGTGTAGCTCTTTAACTGCAATCTGTGTCAAGATGAAAAACAAAAAATACAATCGATAAAAACTTCTCACGGTGTCGCACCCTCGCTGCCCCCCTCAGCGCCTCCAGCTCACCGACGTGACCCACCTCTGCCCAGCATCACTACCAAAAGTGTCCGACCTCCAAGTGCCCAAAGACGGATTGCCCCAGGTCGGGATGACGATGTCCGGATCCATTGTGCAGGACACCTGTAGCTGCGTCGTGCAGTCAGTTCATTCCTACGGGAGATTATAAGCTTCTTGACCAACGCGCCTCCCCGCAGCTCTGAACAAACACAGCTCCTACCGTGTTTTGTCGGAAGATGAATTATTTTCAAGCTTTGTAAGAAAAAAAAATCTAAACACGCTCATAAGAACACGATGCTATAAAACAAAATAAAAATCAGAGACAAATTGTTGTTTGATTAATCATTTATTTTGAAGAAAGCAGCGCTTATTGGATTATTTTTAGAAATGTATACAATCTATCTCTATATTCCCCCTCTCCCTCTCTCTTTCTCTTTTGTGCGCGGGCCTGTTGCCACAGCAACATTGCTATGACAGGAATAACCCTAACTGGTTATGGTTCTCTCCAGCAGCACTGCAGCTCCTGACAAAGCTGTAAACATTCACTGTGACACACTGAAGGAATGATAGAATGGATCTGGCTGCAGATAAACACTAATTTGTCCTTTGTTTTTGAAGGTGGCATCAAGCAAACATCATGTCAGCATTATCTGCTTCTTAAAAGGGATTCAAATGTGTCATCTGACTAAGCCTACAAAGCCGGGTCTTTCTGTTTTGCTCCTCTGTCAGCTCTCTCTGCTGATGTGGAGGTTTTGACGACAGAAACCGAACGACAGATGCTTTTTCCTTTGCATTTGAGTAGAAAAAAAGAAAGTCGAGAACAATGTGGGAGGCACTGCTCCGCTTCTGTCTCCCTCCTATTCCTCCCACCTTTTTGTCTTCTCTAAATTTGAACAGTCTGAAGTAGTAATTTATAGATGACCCCCTCTATGAGTCAGTGTGTTTGAAAATACTGGAAGAGGCCAGTCCACTTGAACCCCTTTCGCCCACACTGGTGCAGCCACTCAATGTGGCTTTCCGAGTTGCATGTGAAGACCATTACCATAACTCCTGCCTGTCAAAATCTGACATTTTCATTTCCACATTCTGCATTTATATACTGCAAAGTTTAGCTCGTAAAGACGTCACTTAAATGGGATAATGAAGGTATTTGAAATGTGGGACAGTAAAGTGAAAGGAATAGAGTGGAATTGCAGGCAGAAGATTAGATGTGAGGAAGAAAAAAAGAGGGTGTACAAATGAGGGAGTGGCCCTGAGAGAAAGACTGCAGCACTTGATTCACCAGATGAGAAATTCAGGCAGATATTTTGTGTCGTGTTCATATGCATTTGTCTTCCTTCGAGAAAGGAACCTTTGAGTAATGGATGATCCTGGGCAGATGTGACCAGTAACATGTGGGAGATCACAGACAGCTGTTGAACACAAACACAAGAGCTGACCAGAGAAAATCTAACCTGTGGCATCAGTCACCTCCAACAACACTATCTCCTGGGGACAGAAGACCCGTTTATTTGCAGGGAGAGAACAGAAAAATGAAAGTGACAAGCTGAAAACGTAGGCAGCTTTATCAAGGAGAAAACAGCGGTTGTTGCAAGGACAGCTGGGGAAAGGTCACCTTTGACTGAAAGCATTGGCAAAGCTTGTTGCCTCTCCTCGCCAAATAGATACGTCAAATATTACAAACAGCACTGCAGTCTCAAAGGTTTCCTGCTCCTGTAATCACATCTAAAATTATATTTGATCACCACTCTCCTGAGGTCCATCTGGCAGGACCCAAGATTATATACTGAATAAATATCTTTAAGAAATATTAGTGCATAACTAACTGCTCTAAATTCAGTGCTCTTCAAAACTTATGCACATGTTTTTCTTTTTCAAATTAAGAAGCAGGAGCTATTGGGAATGTTTATAATCCTACAGGACAAAAACAAAAGAGGCAGATCTCAGAAAAAGAGAAGACTGCGACTGATCTTGTCTTTTGTCAAGCTCAGAGGCAGAGCTGAGGGGAAAAGAGGATAAAGTGGATCAAGAGAGATAGACAAAAGAGAGACTGATGGGTCTCATTTTAAATTCTGATTGTAAATTAGGTCACTGTTGTTAATGAAAAACATGTTTCCAGTCAAACTTTTTCAAGCTTCACATTGATTCTTAGGAAAAGGCAGAGACACACATCTATAGCCTATTACATATCTCCGCAAAAGCAAAGTGCTTCAGAAGCTCCATCTGTTTTCAGCACCATGGACAGCACCCAAAACTGCCATGTTCCTGGCTTCATTTTCTCTTTCAAGGCGACAAAAGCCAAAGCCATGGATGTATACATGGCCAAAGCACACTTACACCATATAACAGGGTTGAAGATCACTGCACTCAAATTGTACTTGTGTATATGCTAAGACTGCAGGGGGCAGACAAGCTAAACACTTCATACACAACAACTTTGATATAACAACTACTAACACGGCCACAAAAGTGGGTCAAGTGGGGTTGAATGCAAATTAATTGCATTTGTCAGCTGGAAAAAAATAGGTATGACAATCAGCAATTTTGATGGGTGAAAGCAACATGAGAAAACAAACAGATCTGTAATGAGGTCAAATAATCTCGTCAAAATAAAGTATCTTCCTTCATTTTCCAGTGGAAATACTATGAAAAACTGATAGCAAATGACAGCTGCTGCTCCTTGAAATAAAGCAGGAATGAACATGATTTAATAGATGTATAAAGAGGTTTGGTTGACAAATACTAATTGACTAATGAGATTACAGACTATACGGTCCTTTTTGTATTTGCAATTTTGTCATTTTTGAATTTACAAATCAATTTCATGAAGTGTTTCAGAGCTGCAAATAATCTGCAGATTCTTAACCATGATTCATGGTTTTGGTCCATACAGTCTTAGAAGATAGTGAAAATGTCCATCATAATTGATGACATCTCCACGTGGCTTATTTTGTCTTGCAGTCGCAAACCCAAAGATAATCAGGGTACTATCATATAAGGTGAAGAAAACTAGAAAACATTCACATTTGTCAGGATGGAAGAAGTGAACTTTTGGCATTAGCAAAAAATGAATTACTTAATTAACAATTAATCATGTATTAAAATAGTTGTTGATTAGATTTCTGTCAATCAACTAATAAAAGGATTCCCAACCAGGGACATTTGAACTCCAGGGGATACTTTTGCAGTTGCTGGGAGGTATGTGGAAAGATTGTGGAGTAGCTCAAGAAATTTGAAAAAAACAAACACAAAGTCCACAATATCCACTAAGTCACCCGTAACACCTGAACAATACATGTTGAGAGTGCAAGAAAAGTAGTTTGCAAGCGAGTGGAGAAGTTGAAGCAGCTAAAAGTAACAACAGCTGACAAATTAAAGGGAAAACCTGAAGCTGATGTGTCTGAGTAAGGTGTTGCCTCCAGAACACCTTCAATGCTCCTTGGCATCGATTCTACAAGTCTCTGGACTTGGTGGTGGAGGAGAGGGCTGTCTAACATGTCGGTCCAAAATGTCCCAAGGGTGTTCAATTGGGTTGAGATCTGGTGACTGTGAAGGCCACAGTATGTGATTCACATCGTCACACTCATCAAACCACTCGGTGACCCCTTGCCCTCTGGATGGGGGCATTGTCATGGCATTGTTTAATTTTTCAGGTTTTTCCTTTAGATTGTCACCTGTCTATATATCTAACAGTCAAAATCTGGTATATGTTTTTTAACTTTTGGCCTGTCCCCCCAAAAAACTAACAAAACAGCTTCTTATGAGTTTATGCAAAGTTTCCAACCTGTCATCATTCTGGAAGCTCTGGTCCCCGAGCAGCAAGTCTCTGAAGCGGAAGCGTGGCGGCAGCGGAGGCACCTCAGTCTCCTGCTGCTCCATCTTTAGGTTGGAGATGTCTAAGATAACCCCGCTGCTGTTGCTGTTGGTCTGCAGTGGCGCTGGAGCGGAGCTGGAGGAGGGAGAGGAGAAAAGTAAAGAAGCAGCATGGACATGAAGGGAGAAGAAGAGCAAAAGTGCAAAAGTAAAGGGAGTTGGATGAACAGGCAATGGTGAAAGGGAAAAGGAGAGGAAGCAAGGAAAGAAAACATGGGATGGAGAAGTACAGGTGGAGGATTGACACCGGTATGCAGACAGACAAATAGGAAAGAAAAAAGCAAACTTAATATGTATTTCAGCCCAGTCCAAATTCTCTGCCCTGAGCTTTGGTGACTGGTCTTGTTATTAACATGTGTTTGCAGCTTGTTCTGTAATATGAGATGTTCAAACTGCACCCTGAATTCATACGGACAATGAAAAGCAGAACCAGCCAACATATGTTCATCTAAAACACCATGCACAATAACTACTAAAACTAACAACTACTTTCCTATCCTGGAGCAGTTGCAGGCATTAAATGCAGCTACTGTGGCTGGAAGCGTTCATTTGTTTCCATTTCAAGCATAATATCAACAAGCAGAAGCAGATGTTTACATGCAGTCTAGTCTATTTGCTAATGTACAGTTCAAATAATAGAAGTCCTAACCCTGTTTCTTATAGTCCACGACAGCACTTTATGGTATTAACTTTATTAACACAAGCACACAGTTTGTCTTTAAGACTAACTCTGTATTCATTCATTTGGGTGTGGGAAGGTTTCAACCAGTGGTGGAAACCTTGTGAATTTAAAGTAAAGTAAAAAATATATACTGTACTTTTTACTCCATTACATAGTTCAGACCCCTTGTCACATTTCTTTAAGTTCTTAGGCTTTTCACCAAAGAGACATTTCCCCTATAAACTTTTCACATGATTTCATTCAAATAAGAGTTTGAGGCCCAAAAAACAGCAAAGATTAGAGAAAGGTCTGATAACACAAAATGATGTAGCAGAACTTTGTTCTTTCTCTCTCTCCTTTCAGATTCGTCTTGTGACCTTTTGGAGGTAGCCAAACCCCTGAGATTGGGAAACAATGGACTAAACTAACTGTATCAAAGGGAGTTAAAACTAAATCCACTTCAACAAGCTACAACAGTAAAATGCTGCTTACATGAAGATTCATCAATATTAACAACCCATTTTCTGCCCTTTGATACTTTTAAGTACATTTTGTTCTATTTGAGTTAAGTGTGATTTTTAATGCAGGACATTTATTTGTAATGGAATATTTTGTTGTATTGGTACTTTTACTTAAGTAAAGGATCTGAGGACTAATTCCACCACTGGTTTCAACGCATGCAATCAGTCAGCTTGAGGCACACATTGTGTAGTAATCATAGATCCATAACTCAGACTCATCTTGATACGAGACCATAAAAAACAGTGAAATAGAAATGTCTTTTTAGCTGCAAGAGGAGCACAGTCTCTGCTGTTATGTTGTTTTTTTCTGAAGGCCTGCAGCTGTTGAGTCACCTCTCCTGTTCACACCTTATTCAATCACAGTCCAAGAGCCTGAGTAACATGCAAAAGGAAGAGTACGATATAGTGGGATGTTACCTTTGACCCAAGGAGAAGAACGTGTGTGAAGACGAACTTGGAAGTGAAGGAATGAGATGAGTTAGAAACCCCAGATCTGAGTAAATGGATTGATCCAAATGAAGTGTAAGTGGTTTGGTGTGAAGACGGGTGCAGTTTTTTAGTCCCTTCCAGAGCAGAAAAACTTACACAATCTACAAAGAGGCAAAGCACATCATCCACAAAACAGTGTGTGGAAAAACCCCAAATCTTCTCTTTACTCCTTCTTTCACCCTCCCTTTATTTCTCCACCTCTGCCTGTTTGCTATAGTCCTCCATTAAGCTTGTCATCGTTATTGCATAATAGATGAAGGGTATATTTCCTATGCGGTTCTGTCCAACTTAACCAAACAAAACCCAGTGGCAAAGAGAACCACTCAGATCTCATAAAACATGCTGGCACTTCCAGGTCATTAGAAGCATCCAGGGAACAGAACAGAGAAAAACATGTTGAGAGGTTTTGATGGTTGTTTCTTCTTGAGCTCCTGTCATTTATGTCTTCTTTGAGACTTTTCAATGTAGACTACATTTCCATTGAAAAGTAACACAAATGTTCCAAAGAGGACACACAGGTGCAGAGCCCAACATTAGAAGATTATTCTATGTGTTTATTATCTGTACTAGTCTCACAACATGCACATCATGTTTCCAGTGATGTCCGGGCTGTAACACTGACAACTGAGACAGAGAGCAAGCTGAACAGCTGAACACACAACAGTGTGACAGGAGCGGATGAGCACACAGTGTTTGGGTGGCTGGAAAAAACACTGATAAACATTAATCATCAGTATGTTCACGCACTGCCCTTAATTAAAAAAAAAAAAAAATTACATTTCATGAAATTCGTCCCAGTCTCACAGTCTCTTTTCAACAAATTCCTCAGCTACAAATCATGTTTATGCGCAGGAGAACTTTGAGAAATGCGAGGCGCAACAATCAAAAGCACTAACTTGACTGATCTCCACATACGAAGCCTGAAGTTTTCCTCCTGACTTGTTCCTTTCCTCTCTTACCGTGGCTTGTGCTCGTTCACGGTCCCATCATCGTTGACAAATGACTGATTCACGTAACATTCACTACACATTTTGGCCGGAGATCCGACGCTGCCGTCGGACTGGAGAGCTGCGGTGGTCGGCGTTGAGTCCCCCTTGACAAAGTCGCCTTCCTGGGTTAATTGCATCGGAGGGAGATCTGCCAAAAAGGAGCGGACTCTCGCAGAGAAAGACGCGCTTTCTTTAAAAGAAAAACGAAAAAAAAGCCCGGGTGATTTCTCCCTGTGCCAAAGCCCCCCTCACATACTCAGGTGCATCTCGGAGGTTTGAAAGAGTTTGTTTTTTTTTGTCAGCCTACGCAGAAAAGAGGCTGGGAGCAAAGTGACAACTGCCTCATGAACTCTTTAAATAGACAAACTGAAAGATGCACACGCAATCATTTGGCTGGCGGAAAGAAATCAAGCTTAAAGTGATGAGGAGAGATGCAGAGGAGAGGTCTGCAGCAGTGAACATAATGGTGGTGACAGCTTTCTTTCCTGAGGTAACGGGTACACCTAATGACATAACTGTTGAATTATCACCCAACTGTTGATGAGGAGAGTGAGATTAGCACCATCTGTTGGAGGCGCTGATGCTCCTCACCTCTCCATCATCAAAATATGAGGTTTAATGTGCAGAATTCAACCATATGATGAATAAACACAAGAAGGGCTATTGGGTATGGTGATATTGAGTCCATCTTATTTAAATCATACAAGTCAATTTTATTTATATAGCCCAATCTGTTCAATCAGTACAGCATACAACACCCTCTGTCCTTAGACCATAGAATCAAACAAACTCCCCCTCCCAAAAAACCCTATAATGAGGACAAAATGGAACAAACCTCAGGGAGAGCCACAGGAGAGGATCCCTCTTCCAGGACGGACAGATATGCAACAGATGTCATCTGTACAGAACAGAGCAACATAGTAAATTTACAGTAATTTACAATTAGGACAAACTAAATTATAGCTAGACGGTGAGCATATATGAAGAATACTTTAGATCAATATAATCAGTTGCGGAACAAGTATTCAGTAAAAGTAGAAATACTTCACCTCTGTGTGTGGTTGGATCAGATCTATACCATCATACTCATGATGGGAAATGGAACAGCTGCTTTCTCTGAAATGAGGAGCAACAGGAGAGGTAATATCTGCTCGTCTGCTGACTGATTTATGATCCGCTGTTCTTTATGATGATGTTCTTCCTAGACTTTGGGGCACGAGCACTGTGACAAATATATGATGTTTTTTGTATGGCAGGTTAGGCATGACTTTATTTGAAAAATCTTCCTCTCTCTTCCTCTGAAATTAAATTTGTTCTCACAGTAATGTCACAAACAGTGCAATATCTACAAGAGAAACAGCCTTTGATAAATGCCACATTTCTTCTAATAAAATCAGTCTTTTTTTATTTGTTTGTTTTTGGAGGAGAGCAATGTGTTTTTGTTTTTACTTTCTACTATGTGTTATTTTTATGCCTTAGTGTGGATCTGAACAGTGGCTGTTAAATGGATTAGAGACTGACAGCAACAACAACCAAGATGATGACATGACAAATTACAATGTACGAAGCCACAATTTCAAAAGAAATATTAGAAAATATTTAATTTACATAACAGAATGTCTGATTATGAAAGACACAGGTGCATTTTTATGAATCTATTTTTATATATATATATAAAGGGCAAAAGAGTCTTTATATACATATATATAGATACATATATGTACATGGGGCTCTTCAGGAATCTTTATATCTGCCCACCTCAAAGTACGTGATGGACATCCTGATAAATAAACAAGCTATTCCCAGACATCACAGTTATATGATACTTTATGTGCAGATCAGGATGATGAGATATACAGTGGCTTGACCATGACAGTGTGAGTCATCATTCAAATAAAAATCTGAAAATCGCACATTTCCCTCCACCTAGCGCCTGCCATCAGTGTTTCTCTGGAGTGCTGAGCTCAAGCTACACATCACCCCAACTTTCACACAGAGTTTATCCCAGGAGGAGCCTCTCACTTTCTGACAGGCGGCAGGGGAAGGAACAGAGGTCAGCAGCATCACAGGATTAACATGGCGCTCTAGGGATAAGAGGTAATGCTTACGGTTCATATTTTAGTGTAGTACCAGAAAAAGGATGATCGCAGCACATCCTAAGGTTGGTAAAAATAGATCTGCATGAAGAACAGGTGAATATGATTATATATATATATATATATATATATACACACACACACACACACACAAAAACTGGGTTTAAAAAAACATGAGATAGCTTTCAGTCTGTGTTGTAATTTTATCCTTCTGGAGGAGGCCACTGACACTTACAGATAAATATCATAAAGATAAGAATAAAAGATAAGGATGAGAAGCCAAATGACTTCCACTATTCTCACACAAGTGCCAGGGAAAAAAACATGAAAATAAAGTGTAAAGAGAAAAGATTGACAGACTGGATGTTTTCTTTTTAATATTATTATTAATTTCTTTGCTTATTTGATGACGCAAGCTGGAGCAAGTATGAAGGAGACGTGGGAGAGGTGATATAATTCACTGGGGAGACAGTGACAGGAGGTTGTTGAACAGTTTTAAGCTTGTGATGGATGTTTGGATTGAGTCAGCCGTTCTGACTAGTGTGGGAAGTCTTTTTACTGCTGGAGACGAGAGAAGTCACATCTGTGCGATTATCCCATCGGGGTAGATTTGCTGTGAGAGGAGGTTTGGCTGTGTCAGCAGATTAAAGGTGTAATTTTCTTATAGATCCACGCTAGGATCCATTTCAACACGTCACATGTGCAGTACATTAGGCTGTAGTTATGAAAAAAACATATAGAAGTCACATGGAGGGGTCAGAATTGAAGCTTTTTAAAATTTGACATAGCTTTTGAAATTTTAATTGAGCCCATGTGGCACTTCACTCGCAGATAGAGATGTTTACTCCTGCAGCACACACTCAGTTGTGTGTGTTTGGATGCTGTGATGTGACAGGGAGGAGGATAAGTGTCACTGTCTGTACTATCTTGAGCATTTAGTGTTGCAAGGGCTTCAACTTGTTTGTACAAAATCTTACATAAGCCTTGACGCTTCATTCAGTAGAGTATAGTTAGAGTCAGACCTTTCCTCTGTGCCATGTCTCCATCTGGTGTCGGTGAGCCACTGTGCTGCCCCCTCTGAGCTCGACCCGTCCACTGCACATCAATGGACAGCTTGAGGCTGTACAAAGAAAATACCAAACAGAGGCCAAAGGAAAATGGCAATGAAATACACACAAAACATCACTTGTCACGGTGCTTTTTGGGTATGATTTTCTTCCTTGCATTACTCATTTTTCCTTAAAATTAATTTATTTTGTTTTCATTCATTTTATTGATCAAAGTTTCTGACTCACTGCAATTTCAAGTAAGACACTCATCTTTTCTATTTCCAATTTAATTTTTCTATTGCACTTACCTGTGCTTTCAAGGTTGAACACATCTAACATGGCACCCAACTTCAGATTGCACCTGCTTTTCCATTAAGTATCATTTCAGTGTCACAGGTAATTATGTAAGGTTTATTCAATGAAAAAAATATTGCAAAAACAAGATAGCAAAGCATGACATTTTGTTTGATGTAATAATGACTTTGACATATATATATATATATAATGTGGGCTTGTAGTGCACTATAACTCATATCTAAGTGCAATTTTGAGTACTTGCACTTATTATTAGTATTTTCCATTTTTAGCTTTTATATTCATTCACCAGCTGTCGTTACTTTTCGGATTAAGAATTGACACTTAAAATCTTATAAAATGCAATGTGTTGTTCCAGATTAAAGCCCTGGTTCCCAATCGTTTTTGGCTTGGGGCCCCTTACAGATGAGCAGTGTATAATTTTGGCCCCTTGTCATGTTTTATATATATATATAATGTGGGCTTGTAGTGCACTATAACTCATATCTAAGTGCAATTTTGAGTACTTGCACTTATTATTAGTATTTTCCATTTTTAGCTTTTATATTCATTCACCAGCTGTCGTTACTTTTCGGATTAAGAATTGACACTTAAAATCTTATAAAATGCAATGTGTTGTTCCAGATTAAAGCCCTGGTTCCCAATCGTTTTTGGCTTGGGGCCCCTTACAGATGAGCAGTGTATAATTTTGGCCCCTTGTCATGTTTCACATGTCTTTTGAGTTCTGAGCGGGTCAACCAAAAGCAATTTCCCCTCCTCAGGGCCCAAATAGACTAGAGAAAAGTACAAAAACTTAAAACAGAATTGTGACGAAAACATTTTTTTTCTTTCCAGCCCATTAATCAACATTTAGGTTGGGAACCACTGGACTAAAATAACCTACTATATACAAGGCAGTTAAAACTAGTTCCATCTTGAGCAGCTACTGTACTGATGCATCAGTATTATCAATCCATAAATGTCAAATATAAAAATATATCAATCAGGAGACATTTGATAATTATAGTATATTTTTCTGATATTTCAGTGTGGTATTATCACTGATTAAAGGGCCTGGATTTTAAGACTGACCGCTGATAGACCATGGCTGTACTCATAGATGTGTAAACCCATTGTCTGAGGGAGGCAGAGTTGAACTGTTGCCCTCTAGTGGAGAATGAACAGAACAACTGAATCTCAAATTGGGTAGGATCAACCACACAAATGGCATTTGCCTAAATGTGTGGTTTAATTCACCATGGACTGGGAGAATGAAAACCTATAAAACACTTAAAACTTTAATGCAGTACAAACAAATAGGCTTTTAAATTAAATACATAAACTGTAGCTGCCAAGCAGAAATAGAGATTTCAGAAATAGAGATTTCTGCTGTATCCTCCTAAATCATGACATTTTAACAATCATCTCATTAGATACAAAAAAACCCCAAAAAACTTAAATTGCTGTTTTAAAACCACCAAGGTTCTTATTTGAAAACCTCCACAGTCCCATTTCTGGGTGTAATATTTTGCTGCAACCTTTGTGCAAAAAATTAAAAGTAAGCACAACACATCCTCTGTCAGACTGAATCCGCTTTAATAAAAGAAATTCATTCTATCTACTAAACAAAACTATTTTTGACACAAAATATTAAATCAGTGTCTGAAGAATGTGCAGAGTAGTGGTTTGATTAATGATGTTTTTGGTCCGAGGCCAGTTTTGTTTGAAAGCTACAGTGTACAATGATGTGTATTTGTCTGTTTTGGTGCCTGGATGGTGAACACTGGACGGTAACATTTTACATTGTGTAAGACTCCTTGCTCAAGTGGTTGGTCACATAAACTAAACGTGTTAACATATCATTCCTCTGCTGCCAGCATAATGACGCCAAGTTTATTGCATTTGTGTGTGGATGTTTAGGACTTGTCCATTATGGAGAGTCGTCTTGTTTCAAAAGTGTTGCAATCAGTTTTTCTGTTAAAAGGTGATACTCTAGCAATTTAGTGTTGCATATTCATATAGCTTGAAGACTCTCAAGAGACAGATTTTTTTTTAATAGTCAAAATCAAGCATCACAATTCGGGATATCCTCGCTTTTAGTCTCTGTGTCAAACTACAAAAACACTTGATTCAACATTTTCCAAAATGCAGCTCAATGGCATCTTTCATTAGAACCTCCCTGCTGTTGAACTGCCTAAATCCTCCAAACTTCACCCCCCCACGTTTGTATCACAGGTTTTGTGTGACAAAAGTTACAATCTCTAAACTCAAACTGAGACACAGTACTTCCAAAGTACTTCAAGCTTCCTTTACAAGTTAAATGTTTCTTGATGCAGTTGAGTTGTTTACTGTTGAACATTCATAAGATAATACGTTGATTTATGCTGAAAAGGTGAGGAAGTTTAAATCAACTGAGCAAGTTAACACCATGTCCTTTTTTGTTAAAAGGTTTTTTGTATTTACCAGAGAATGAGTTTATTATAGCAGAGCATAATATATTAACCCACACTTAAGATTAGTTCGGCACTTACCCGTTACTTAAGAATTACCTAGAAACCCATGAAGTGTATCTGAGTGCGTTTGAATCAGTCTGCTCCTTCTGTGCTGACTGAGGCCACGGCTGAAACATAGTAAGGTCCCTCTCTGAGGTAAGTTTTCAGACGGATGTAATTCTGGCTGCCCAGTATCTCGGCAGATGTTGATGAAGACAAAAGTGACCCCACCAGTTCAAACTTAGCATCTTTGGCCTCCTTAGTCTGACCCGTTGAACGATCCAAAATGAACTCCATGAATCCGGGATTTCTGATCATTAACTTCTGACCCCATGGCTGAGTGGCAATGGCCTGGAACACACATACACACAGAGATTCAGTATATCCACCAATGAAAACACACGTATTACCAGAGCAATGGTGATAGCAATGAGCTTTTGTGTAAATATACAAAGCATAAATAAAACAGGACAAACTCTCCCTTCTTGTTTTAGAGGGAATCACTCCGTAACACAAACAGGAAATTATGGTAGCTAGATTCAGCTCAGCACTCACAGTGAATATCCGCAGAGCCCCACAATGCAGCTCTGGGAACGGCTGAGTGCTGATGTTACGAATCATGTCCATGGGCTGTTTAGACAAAACGTGGAACCAGGACTCTGTCAGGGCCAAAAGATCTTCTGTCTGCTGCTCTGACTGCAATAAAAGCATCATAGATTCATAAACTTAGCAACATTTTTTTCCTGAAGATGGCATTTAAAGACACAAAAAACACTTATGTTGCACACACATACCTCTAGACCGAGAAGCTGTGATATGGCATCCAAGCTGCGCACTCTGAGCTCCGTAGCTCCAGAGCTGGCGAGTTGGCTCATTCTTGACAACACGGCCTTGAACTTTTCTCCTGAGGACACACAAAGAATTAGACACAAACATCCAAAGAGATCAGCTATAACACCTTAAGAAAAATAAGAAACGCAACACAACGAACCTGTTTTCTGCAGGACCTGCTTTCCCTCCACAGTAGATCCAAGTAAGCCCAAAGTGTCCAGAGCCACCCCAATCATCACAGGGTCCGGGTCCAGAGCCATCTCAAACACCTTGTTCTGGAAGGCTGGGTACGTTTCACAAACCTGCTGTGGGCTGTCCATAATGGCCAGGTTCCCGAAGAACTTCACTAAACCTACAGGAGAGATATTTGCATATAATGCTGAATAATGCAGCACTGAATGACTTAAACAATTAATACTTCAACTAAACTTTAGCATGTTTTCATGATTGAGTCACATGTAGCCTGGACTGCCAGATCACAAAGAGAATAGTGTCTGCTGAGCGTAGCCAAAGGAATTTGGATGTATTGGATGAGTTTTCTTGAAACACTTTTCTATACTGACTCACCAGGCAGGTAGAGGGAGGAGAAAGGGTCCGTCTCTGCTCCTCTGATCATGTTGGAGATCTTGTCCATGATACCCTGCTGGGACAAATACTGCCGGCCATGCTGACTGTGGGCTAGAGAAGTCACCATCTCTATAGCTGTGGCCCTAGTGAAAAAGATTAAAAACATTTCCTGAATCATGTTCTTCATAAATGTTTGCAGTCTATCTATAATATTGTCATCCTGATCGTCCATACTGTAAATCTACTATGTTAGTCTATTCAGTAAACACATCTGTTGCATGTTTTCGCAGACTATATCAATTTATGACCCTGTATGATTAATGTAAGTATGATTCATCTGATTACCTGGTCAAAACGTCATCACCTGTGAGTTCACCGATGAGCTGAGAAATGAGGCTGCTGTTGGCACAGTAACCGAGAGAAATGGGGGAAACAGACGAGATTTCCACCACCAGCTGCAAGCAGCAAGAAAAGCAAGTCAGCAATGCAGTGTTTGCAATCTTCCAGCTGGTTACAGAGCCTACTAATTGACTGTTGGACGACTTTATTAAAACGATGAAAAAAACTAACTTAAAGTTCAGCAGTCACCCAACTGTGTCCATGTGCATGCCTACAAGCTCATTTGTCATACATTAAAACTTCAATCAACATTGCCCACGTTCTGGCATGATTTCTTGTGCTGATTAGTCATACCTTCTACTGATTCCATCAAAAATAAATGTCATTTAAAAAACTATGTCATACAAAAAAAGTGGACACTTATGTATCATCAGTCACAAGGCAACACACATTTGAACATACCTCATATATTCTGTATCTGACAATGTCACTTGTGGCCATCACATCCTTCATGGCTTTCAGCAAGTCGCTCTGGAACAATTTGTCTAATCCAGGCTTGGAGTGACTCAGTTTAGACAGGGACTGAATGGCCTAAGAAATAAAACAGTTACTGCACCCACTGTAGATTCATTTAAAATCTCATGCAGGAAATTTCAGTGCCGCAGTCATCACCTGTTTGGCCACAGCCATTTTCTCCGCTGCGATGCACTGGATCACCGCTCGAAGAATGTCGTGGTTGTTGAGGATTTCAGTGACAGCATTGGGGTGCTCCACCATTCTGCCAATCTGCCAGAGAAAAACAGAAATACCCTTGTCAATGCTTTATGGGCAACTTTCCGTGTTTGTGTGTGTGTTTGTGAGCAGCCTACCTGTGTCAAGGCCAGTATCATAACAGTTTCATTAGGATGGTTCAGACCAGCTTGCAGCTCCACTCTGTAGTTCTGGGCCAGGTGCTCAGGGCTGAGGGCCATTAAAATGCGTTCAAGGATGTCCACACACAGCTCCACCTGCGCCCTGTGAATGCAGCTCACATTAGTCATTTTTTATTCATAGTGATTAGTCTACCAATTCTTTTCTCAATTAATCATTTTGTCTACATATGTTAGAAAATATACTTTCACAATTGCTCAGAGCAAGTTGACATTAGATCTGCAGTGATAAGCCCTTCGATAACACTGATTTTGTGTCACTTTTTCAGTAATAATGCCAAACATTTGCTGGTTTCAGCTTCTCAAATTTTATAGACATTTTATAGACAAAACAATTGGTAAAGAAAATACTTGTCAGATTATTCAATAATGGAAATAATCATTCATTGCAACCCTAGCTGACATTTTCAAATTGCTTGTTTTGTCTGACCGCCAAAGCCTCGAGTTAATTACTTAACCATTAAAAAAAAGAATAAGGAATTTAATTCGTTATGAAAAGGTAAATCTGTACTGTGACTGTTTGGACAGTTACATACTTTTATTGGTTAGCTCCACACTCCGGCACACACACACAACCTGAAACTAAACATTGACTCTGTAGCTTCAGTGCTAACTTTCAGCGCTACCTAGAGGATGATGTTCATGTCCATATTGGACCCCCTCCATCTGCACCGTGTCAAAAAAGGGGCAACTGCACACCCCTAAAAACACCTGAAATATGGAAGTCACTCATGTAACTTTCAGACATTTCGTTGTAAATCTAAGTATCAGGAGTAAAGGGCTATATTACGGAAATGAGTCACTTCACGCCTGTACTGCACTGTATATTCTTTGTAGCATTGTAGCCAGTTAGCTTGCTAACGACTAACTAGCACAGGTCAAATGCAGCGTTTTCTCTTAAGCAAACACAACTTAACCTACCGGTATACTAACTTAGTGACACTAATGATACATCCTGAATCCTGTCAGTCACAAGACTCAGCAGATAACACCCAAACAGTTTGTTTAACAGTGTAAACAAGACGCACTGTGCTAAACCAACCTCTGATTTGAGTTTAACAGGGAGAATATCACGTCGAATCGCTGCCCGCTCACTGAGTCTCTCAATGCGCTGACAGGTATCGATAATAAAGCTGTTTTTAAACTCTGTAGCTCTTCAAGTGGGTCTTCAACACCGGAGATTTCCTCCAGTAGACTCTCAATGGAAGCAGCCATGTCTGTCAATGTTTGGGGAAACTACCGGCACCAGTATCCGCCTCAGCTTCTTCTGCTTCACAATTTTTTCCAACGTTATGGCGCGTTACCGCCACCTGCTGGACTGAGTGGGAGGCTTCAGGAACCACTTCAGTCTAAAACCAATAGATACAGTCCGTAGGGCAAGAGTGGAGCAAAGTACCCAGGGCCCTAACACGGGAAGGGACATTAAAATCCTGTAATGTAAACTTTGTTTTTATTTGCATTATAAGTAAACTATTACTGACAGCTGAATACATTTGATGAAAGTTGTATTGTCTGAAAAGTCCCCCACCATTAAAAAAAAAAAGTGTCCTGCTTCTTACTGATATATGTGCAGAGGGGATTATTTTTATCTGTGGATGGAAAAACTGAGTTTAAGATGTTTGACACACAACTAGTTTATTTTTCATATGCGAGTATTTTTATAGGTCTCAGACGTGTCTGGAGGGGATCCTTAATGTCCTTGAGGTCTGATCCAATTATTCCTTCTAGGTATCATTAATATTGTATGAATGAGGCAAGATACACTCCTCTGCTTGAGGCTTGTAACATGGGGCTTGGGGTGCAGGGTTACCTTGTAGATAGAGTTTCACGAAAGTGGAAACCCTGTCTGTTAGCTGGTATTGTTGTAGAACTCAGAGCAGCAGGAGGTCCTCTGGTCACCTACAGCTAAAACACCCAGAGAAACAAGGCTAGTGAAGCAGATGTCATGCAGGTACAGTGTAAATTCTTTGCAGCTTATAAATTTTCATTTAAGATTGACTGCAGTAATTAATTATCCCCCCTTTTCTGTCTCATACCCCAGTGCTCTCTGTGCAAGCTGCGTACCCACCAGTGGTGTTTCCTTCTCTTCAACGTTCTCCTCTTCCATGCCTTGTTGTTTGGGGCTGACTTTGTCGAGGAGTACCTCCTGCAGCCCACACCTGCTGTCTACACTGATGGCACTGTCGTTGATGTAAGAGAGAAAGCGAGGAAACTAGACCTGAGCAACGCCAGGGAGAATGTGTCCCAGGCCTACCCCATCGCTAACCCTGATGCCTGCAGTAACTCAGACCTCTTCCTCCTTACACTAGTTTTCAGCTCCCCAGGTAATATCACTCAAAGAGATGCAGTCAGGAGATCATGGGCCAACCAAACACTTGTCGAAGGCTTCCCAGTGAGGGTACTGTTCTTCTTAGGATCAACTAAGACTTCTGCTGCACAAGACGCCCTCGTGATAGAGTCTGACCGCTTTGGGGACATGGTTCAGGGTCATGCTGTGGCCGACTCGTCCCTCCGTGGCCCAACAGAGAGGACTGTGCTGGCACTCCGCTGGGTGATCACCTTCTGTCCTCTGGCACGCTTTGTTCTGCTGACCAAGGACTCTGTGTTTGTCAACCTCCCTGCCATCGGAGACTACCTGCTTGGGCTACACAGGCACCCTGAGGACCTTTATCTAGGTAGGGTGATTCAGAGAGACTCACCTGATAGAGACCCCAATAGTCCTGGCTACCTGCCCCCAGTTCTATACCCTGACAAGTACCTGCCTGAATACTGTGATGGAACGGCTTATGTTTTATCCCAAGATGTGGTCCGGAAAGTGTACATAGCGTCTGCAGCTGTCCGTGCACCTGTGAAAGCTGATGTTTTTGTGGGCCTTTGTTCTCAGAGGGCTGGTGTGTCACCAACCCACAGTGCTAGGTTCTCAGGAGAGAAACATATCCGCTACAACACCTGCTGCTACCGCTATCTCTTCAGTTCAGCAGGAATGGGAAACCATGAACTAGAAACAGTGTGGGCAGACCTGGGACAGAAGGGTGGAAGATGCTCCCTGTTACAGACCTACTACGGCCTGGTGACTTGCAAGGCCCTTACATACCTGGATAAACTGTCCTTCTTCAACTCCCAGGGACAAGCTTAATTGCATGGTTAATTGACGGAGTGTGTGTGTGATTAGTTTGTAAGTACAAGAGAGACAGAAACTGACAGGAAGTTGGGTTTAAAGAAACAAAAGGAATGTGTGTGTAAGTTTGTTGTCCTTGTGCATGTGGGTGGCAGTGTTTGCTTTAATTGTGTTAATTTCAGATCAGAGTCTTGGTGTGACAGCTCAGATCACTATAATGAGAAAGTGAAATATTGTAATACATTGTTTATTTTGTGTGTACATTGTGTATCCACAGGGCCAGGTTTATGTAAATAAGAGTGCAGTGCAAAGTTGACTTCTAATTCAGTAGAGACATTAATTCTTTTTTCTCGAGTGAATTTTGCAGATTTTCCACAAAAACAAAATCCACTTATGTTTATTTCCATGTACATAATGTTGTCTTTATCTTGTATTTAAACTGGTGTTTTCCAAGAGCCAGTGCAGAGGAGGCAGACATGAAGAGAAAGATAAAAATGTGAAGTGAAATTAAAGCCAAATATACCTTTTTCACAGCAAACACTTTGATTTGTCAAAGACAGCTGTAAATGATAACATTATTAACTGTTGCATTGCTTTGTAATAATTGCTAGAAAGGAGCTGTCATCAGTGTTTGTAATTTCACCTGTGCTTTCCTGCTTAACTAATGAGTAGTGTACTTTTTTTCTTCTTTTTATTCTTCGAAGGGTCAGATTTCACAGGATCTTGTTGTCCTCACTTTTAAAGGCCCTGCACACCCACGCAGATATTTTGAGTCATTCTGGCTGATTGAACCTCTGCTCACGCTGAAGTTTAAGTGAAAATATGATTGGAATATGCCTTGAAGACATTTTTACATGTCTCAGTGGGAAAAAAGCACAGGTGTAAATGATAAAATCACAGATGGGTGAATTCTGTTTAGCTTCTTCGGTTTCAGGGTCTGTGAGGTTATAGACTCCATGTACTCATAAATGTTTTACCATGGCAAACATTTTAATTCATCATTCCAGAGAAGCACAGATGAAACTAATGATAATGATGACGGCTCCTTAGCTGTTCGGTGCACAAATGTCAGTATTGGATTTCACAAACCTAAATGGGATGCAGATATCATTAATGTTATTAATCGCACATGTGTTTTTCCTGCTGTGATAATTCCAATTGTGTGGTTTAAAAAGGCCTAAAGATGTTTTCTTGCTCTTACGGCACATGCTAAAATAACAAGTAGGTGAGTCAGGGAGATATACATCTGTGCATGCACACGCAGTCTTGGGAGGAAGTCTAATCAGGCACAATAATTAATAACACCTGTGTGGGTGGATATTGGTGTGGAGGCTCGCACATACCTGTATATGCAGTCTAGATTCATGGTCCAGGTCATGAGCTACAGGCTTTGGCTGTGGTGTTATACAGCCTGATGGCAGTGGGGAGAAAGGATCTGCTGAACCGCTCAGTCCTGCAGATATTTACAGATTACACATTTACACATGAATTGTCAATCTGTTCACACAAAAAACATTGAGACAAATCTATCTCCATAGAAATCCCATTCACAGTTTTTACACAGTGACAGTTCAAGTTTCATGAATGTTTCTGGACCTTTCCAGATTTTATCTTAAACTTTATATCCAATTCAATATCTGGATGAGACCTGTTAGAGTTTAAACTAAACAGATACTGTAGATGATGTGGTTAGCAAGGTAACTTATTTCCCCCAGTGGCTCAAAGTAATTTCTGCTATATAACTTCAGTAACCTGACTGATGACAGCTTAGACGTTTTTGACATCTGCAAGCAAGTCTACACTTCCAGATTAGAGTACGTTTTTTTGCTGTTCATCATTGGCACTAAATAGCTATTCATGTTAGGGGTTCAATAAAAAAGTAATGCAATTCCTGCATTCTACATTTTCATGTGTCACTTATGACATTGATTGATATTTTAATGGAATATACATCCACTTGTACTAAAAAACAGTGAGTGCCCCTTGTGTTGTGTGTGGAGTAGCCCCATTTGAGGATTCTCTGATTTATGGCTTTGGGACAGAGTGAGTGTGATGTTTCCCAATAGACTTAACTGTCCTTGGGCACAGGAATAACAAATGTGATATTTAAGCCTTTTACTTAGTCAGAATTGCTTCCAAATGAATGAACTGTACGGTTGTGAATGTTGTGCAATTATTAGTAACATAAACTTCCTCCACAGCTGCTGTTGCACTTTAACTTGCAGTTTATTGCTGCCGTTTGCTGGATTTTTGCTGCAGGTTATGAATATTTAACCTTCTTTCACTCACAGCTGAAGTTCATGGACTTTTGTTTTACTTGCAGCTGCTATCTTTCTGGATTCTTGCTTCATGTTTTCTGCTTTACTCTCGGTTTCCAGGATAATGTGAGTAGCCTGCTCATGTTGTGCGGATGTGTCATTTACTAAAAGAGCAGTTATGGTTCTATCCTGCATTTAAGGGGAGGGCTGGTATGGGGAAAATTGCAGGAAATTAACAAAAGCCATTTAGGCTCACTGCCTGAAATGGCAAGGGTCGCGTGGCATGGTGCACTTCAGGCCTGGTTGTGGGTTGTTGGACTCTGCAAACAACCGGACCGCACTTCAGCCGGATCTCTCAGCCCAGACCCGGCCGAGTCTTAGCCAGAATAATATGAATAACAAAAGAATGAGAAAAATGAACTGGGGGAGAAACATACGCAGAAACTGCTCTCATACCTGTGTCGATTACGGAAGTAGGTTGAACAGAAACGCGCCGTTGGCTCCGTGTATACACTGCCCTCATACGGGCATTTGCCCGAAAGCGCGCCATTATTTCTTTAAATACGGATGACAAAAACAAGATGGAGACAATAGTCTGATGCATGGGTCTGTGTGCAGTCCGCGGTCGCTAAGTGAAATACTCGGATCTCCTCCTCAAGAAAACTTCACTCACCTTGTTACATCCTGTTTGTAAGGAATAAATCAACTGCCAGGTACCGAAAGTAAGTCCGACAGCGACGCCGGTGTTGAGTTTACTTTCACAGCTAAATGGTCGGGGGTCAGGTTCATTTCTTGATTCTTCATGTGAAAAGTACGACATCTACTGGCCAGAAAATAAAATGGGCGTTTGTATATCACAACTTAAAAATCAGTAAAGGGAAGTATTTTTGTTTGTTTTTCTTGCTAAGAAATTTGGTGTGCATCAGATGTCTGCAAAAAGTCAAAATTGTTAGCTTTACTTTTGAAGGTCACCCTTGGTGGTTGTGCTTGTCAATAATGTATTCTGAAGGGCTGCTTAAAATGTCCTTGTTTGCCCTGCAATGGAAAGTCATTTTATTTAGTATAATTACATGTTTTCACAGGGATGTCAGAGTCCACCTCAGGACAGTACCACACCTTGGCCCCCCACAACTAGCAAGAAATGGTAAGTCACGTGCATGACTACACCCCGCACCTGTATGGGCTCAAATTAACTGTGTGTGACACTGCAGTTACAAGTACAAATTTTGACCATATTTTCACACCTGAATCTGATTGAACAATGACAGTCCAATCACAAAGCGGAGTCCAATTAGAGAGGAGGTGGTTCTGTTTGCCTTCATCTCCACCTGCAGATCCTGAAAGGTGTTGTGGATTTTAAAGATGGACGACAGCGTGGGCTTGAAAATCCACTACACCATTCAGGATGTATCCGGAAAAATACAGTTGCTACCAGTAGGTGGCACAGCAACCACCAATAAACATAAATAGGAGTAAAGACATAGGGGGGGAGTATGAAATGCGGTATATTTACAATGTTTCTTCATCATCATCATCACCATCACTGTGTACAAAATCCAGCTCCCTGCTTCCATTCCCTCAGTCCCCCCGGTCCAGTTTTTTTTTTTAAAAGCTTGACAAAAAATCATAATTGAATTAAAGTTATCTATTAATAAAGATGGCATTAATCTGAAGAATCTGATCTGGGTCTGATAAAATTGTCGATTTTAAAATATCACAGAACGAAATTAATCTGAAAATATTGTCCACTTTCCTGTTTTCAGGCATCATTTTATTCATTCTGGTAGTAGTTTAGTAGATTAAGGCCTAAATGGCAGATTAAGACAAACCATCAGATAGATTTACCAAACTTGAAACCAAGATTTTGTGTCATTTAAACACTAATTCCAGGACAAGGTTCAGACTACTGAATACACCATGCCAACAAGGACATCTAGTGCCCAATATGAGTTATAGCAATACACTGGCCAGGCAACCAAGTCTCCTCTGTATGCCTCTGTGCAGTATATGTTTAGCCTGTGACGAAAACTCACAGTTAACTAAGGATTCTTTATGTCAAATCTTTTATTCCAAATCTGTGTATCTCTTTGGAAGTGTGATGCATATACTGTATTCCCCTAAAAAAATGGCTGATGTCTACATGCATAAAAGATTGTGTCACTAATCCATAAACATCAGGGAACAGGTAACATAATGATCATGAATGCTTTCAGTACTCTAAACATTAACATAAATGTATGCCACCCTTTTTCCAGAGTAGAAATATTTGCGTTATCATTATTGTTGCTTTAGCGTGACTGAGAGGTGTGATCACACCATAGTTGGTACAGCAGGAAATGTGTCCGTCTCACTTGCATTTTAGATTTCCAGCAATTTTATGTCCTTTAAATACCACTCAAACTACTGCTTCTCTCCCCAAATTCCACAAAAGGAAGGTTTGGCCTCTATCCCAGCACCACGAGCTAACCAAACAAAATGTTTGTGTGTTTTACAACCTTTTTCTCTTCTGTTCTCCTGCCAGATGTTCACACAGCAACACTCTACTCCACCTTGGCCAGGTTCCCTTGTGTCTGCAAAGCTTTTCCTGGCTGTCTGTCTTCCTGCATCGGGCCAAGGTATTCAAAGAATAACATCTCAGCATGTCTATAATCATTCTGGCTGGTGACCAGTCATGGCAACAATTTGACTGGCATACCATCAGTGTGAACCTGGATCGCTCTCCAGGATTAATCGGAATTTATTAGCATCAACACCTCTGAT